GAAATTCTAACCTGTTAGATGAATCAGTGTGGCTGAGGGAGGAGCAGTCATGTAAAAAATCCAGTTGGCTAAGAATGTGTCAGGCCAAGGAGTGAATTGTGAGGCAGTAGGTTATAGAGCCTGAGGATCCAGGCAAACTTGTTCGGTATGCCAAGAAGACAATTCTGACTGCCCTTTACCTGGGCCATTTCTCAGGGTTGTGTGTGCATCCTTGAGATCTAATGTCTCTTCCCCTGAAAAGCAGTCTTGTTTCCACTTACTATAATAGTGGTTAAGTCTTAGTGTACCTCTTCTGTAATGCAACCCACTGTGTGATGGCCCTTTACATCACTTGTGGCATTTGGGGGGGGGGGGGCATGGGAAACTGACACAGAAGACATCCAGGAGTCACGTCTTTACCAGGCCAGCATCCATGCAACTGGCAGGCTAAGTTGGGTAAAAGATCAAACATGGCACAGTTCCTGACACTTTCTTCCCCAATTACTTTGAAACAAATTTCAGTTATCAACTCAAAAATGCATCACTTCTAAAATTCCTCAAAGTAACCACAATGCTATTAATACAGCTCTAAATTTCTATAAATGCTTAATATTAAATATCCAGTCAACAATTCAGTGGCTAATTCTGTTGGGTGTAATGTGATCAGCACTGCAAATGTGAAAGCTATGAAGGGTAGAGAGCTTCCATTTGCTAAGACCATGAAGTCATGGTCAACGTATTGCAGGTGTCATTAGCTCCTAGGAATCTGCAGTACTGAAATTGTTCTGTGTCAAAACTGGCAGAAACTGACATTACGAATAGACTGACAAAACCAAGTATTGGTAAAGATGTGGAGTAACGAAGTCGCAAACATCACTAGTGGAGTGTACAATGGTACAACCACTTTGGAAAAGAGGTAGCTTTTATAAAATTAAACATTTTATCGCTTATTTTTACTGTTCGGTACCTACCCAAGAAAAATGAAATCCTATGTACACAAAAAGACTTAAGAATGTTCATACCAGTCAATTCTGAAAAGCTGAAAAAAAAATGTTCATACTGGGTTTATTCATAATACCTAAAAACTGGATAAAACCCAGTAGGAGAATGGATAAACAAATTGTGGAATATTCATATAATCAAATACTACTGAATAATAAAAGGGAATGAACTGTTTGTTACATGGATAAATCCCCAAAATTTATGTCGGAGAAAAGAAGCCAGAAGAGTAAATACTATTCACAAAAATGCTATTCCATTTTTGTGAAATTCCAGAACAGGCAAAACTGAACCTAATAGTGCTAGAAATCAATCCTGATTGCCTCTGCAGGGGTGACGGAGGAGGGGAGGGGAGGAGAGGAGGATGTAACTGACTGGAAAGAGGTATGAGGAACTTTCTGGGGTGGTGGAAATATTCTATATGTTGACGGTTATATGAGTGTATATAATTGTCAAAACTGAATTTACTTAACCACTTTATATGCAAATCACACCCCGGTTTAAAAAAAAAAATGTAGGTCTAGAACTCAGCCCTTCATACCTATTCAAGTCTGGAACCAAACCTAAATACTTTTTTTTTTTTTTGGTCTGTCATGGGTTTCTAGGTTACCATGGTATTCAAGTCCTTGGCTCCATGTGTGGTTCCACATTCACCTCCAGGAACCAAATGGCCGGAACATTATGCCCAACACCCCAGTGGTCAGGGTCAGTATTCTAGGCATCAGTGGCCCGATGGTAGTGATCTTCATTGCCCAATCCTAAAGAAGAAACTTACTTGCTGCAGCAAAGTACCAGCTTAAGTGATTTAGCTGCTGATGTGGGGAACATGGTGTGTGGGGTCTTCTCAGCAGCCCTGTTGGTGAATGTGATCCTGATTCTTATCTTCCCTCAGCTTCCATGGTCTCACCATTACCCTTCTTCTCTTTACAAGTAGTTCCTCCTTGTGTCCATCCAGTAGAACATGATAGGCCATCCATCCCCATCCAGCAGGAATAGCCCATCACACCTGCATAGGGGCAGTCATCGCACTTGGTAGGTAGTTTTATAGATGCCGTGTCTTCATGCCCTAGTTTCTTTTGCTCTCTGACCTTGCCCCCAACTCCCTCACTGCAGTGGACAACTAGGTCCTCTTAGCCCAACCAAGCCCCTTTGACCAGCAAAGATGCAGGCCTCTGCCTGCTCCTCCACACTCATCTTCCCCTAGAGTGCTCTGTATATACAGATGAATCGGGTAACTTTTAAAATCACTGCATATATATATTTTTTAATAGCTTTGACATTTCACATATCTAAAGAATACACCATTGTCTCCCTAGTGTAGTATAATCTTAGGTATAGCACTGCAAGATTATCCACATGCTCAGCGGTTTTTTGGAAGTAACAATTCTCTTCAAGCTGTTGGCCAATGGCGGGTCTGGATAACGATATGGTGAGCCTCCGTGATCCTTTGAGTCAGGGCTCTATCCAATAAACTTGTATATGAAAAGAACTAAATATGGGCCGATATTTTGGTATTAAAGATTGTCAGTCAATTTCTATTAAAACACGATAGACAGGGCCAGCCGAGTGGCGCACTCGTTAGGAGTTGGCTTGGGACGCCAGCTCTGAGCAGCAGGCCCCGGTTTGGATCCCACATGAGGGCCAGTGACACTGCCCTCTACAGCTAAGATGGTGAACCACAGCTCAACCTAGAGCTGGGCTGCTGTCCCTCCTGCAGTAGGCTGCCGTGAGCTACCGCGAATGGCTGGCAGCCAGCATGAGTGGCCGTCCAATGGCCAGCAAGTGACTGCCTCACCCAGGAAGAGCGCAATGATAATACCAACTTGGGTCAGTGAAGCGACGTCCTCCACAACTAGACAGAAGAACAAAAAAGGACAGCAACTTGTCTGTGCCCCTTCCCCGATTCGCCAATAAAATATTAAAAAAAAGAAAAGAAAACAGGATAGACAGCCAGCAGATAACTTTCCTTTTTGAATTATGAATTGAATAATTCTGAGAAATATTTCACTGACTTATTGCTTAATTTGCAGTATTTGAAGATAAATAAGCAATCCACGGTATACATACAATGAAGATTTCTTTAAAAAAAATCCAGAATGTGTTCAGACTCTGAAATCTAATACAAATTTATTATCTTAGTGCTTCATTTACTATATTAGACTCCAAAATATTAAACTGTGTTTGTGCTACATGTGTATGAAAAGCTAGGTTTAGGGTTGCTCTGCGGTTACCAAGAGCACAGCTCTACTGGCATACTTTTCCAAGATCTGATGTTCTAACCAAATATCCTCTATTAAACAGAAAATCCCTATTAATGGATCAGTTCACGCTCGAATTTCTAGGTAACATCAATTATATTGTCTACATAAAACTGAGAAGCTGAGCAGGAAGTTCTTGAAAGAAATAAGTTCCAGGCTTTAATTTATTCTCTGCAATTTGTTCTAATCCTAAGTATTATATCTGAAGAGTTGCAACTTTTACAGGCCAATAAAAAATATCAATTCTACTTGTTTAGCTACTAAAGAGAAATGTATCACTTTAGCACAACAAATGGAAAAAGTACTGAATTGGGAATAAGTAGAGCTAGGTTTTGCTTTAGGCTCTGCCATACCTGTACGGCCTTAGGCAAATCATTTAACCTCTGCAGGTAGAGAGCCTCTGGTCTGCACTCTTCTAACAAAGATGAGCTGGCCATTAGGTGAAAAGGCCCCTAGATGGTGCTGTTGTTCTGTTTGTATTTTTTTCCCTCTATAATTACAGTGAAGTAAAAAGGCACAAATTAGAAAATGATTTCCTATTAGTTCAGAAAAAAATTCACTGTTAAGAGTTCATTCAATGGCATTGAATTATGAAATATATGGCCCATGTGGATTTGACATTAATTAAAAGGAATAAACCAGTAATGATTATACCAAATATCCCTTTGTAATATGCCTATATATCCTGATTATACCAAATATCCCTTTATAATATGCCTATATATCCATGAATATTTCTCTAGGTATATTTACCTAAGTTTAAAGAAACTAAATAAAAACTAAACAATTACTGTTAAGAGTACTGATGTATAACAAATCTTATAGAAACAGGATATTTTGGTTTTTATCAAATGCCAGTTCTAACCATAAATGTTGATAAATGTACTGATTTTTTTTTCATTTGGAATGTTTCAGACTATTCAAAACATGATTTCCATGAGCACAATGAAAGATATATTACATTACCCCTCCAGCCATGTAAACAAGGGCATCTTTTAATGAAATCTGCTGTCGCTTAGTGTTCCAAAGGGTAATCAAAAGGGTAATAATAATAATATATTAAATGACTTCTCTGGTTTTAATCCACCAAAGAAAAAGGATTCCGAGATTCTATTTTGAGGAGGCTTGGATGAACAATATCAGGTTTTCACCTAAAATTCCTGACAGGAAAAAGAATACATTCCGATTTCTCCCCTATGAAATTCACTGAGTATAAAAATTATGCTGTTGGGATGGTGGGCTACGCCCACCCGCAACTAAGATTGAACATGGCACCTTGAGCTCAGTGGCCGTGAGCTGCCAACGGGCAGCCGGATGGCGACTGGACTTGGAGCTGAGCTTGCTGCACCCTCTACAACTAAGACTGAAGGACAACTTGGCTGTTCCCCTTCCCCAATTCCCCAACACTGTTCCCCTTCCCCAATTCCCCAATTAAAAACAAAAAAAATTATGCTCAATTAATATACAGAGCAAGAAAAGTACCTATGAAAATCCATAGGCTTCTTGTCAGTAGAGTGGACAACACATGACAAGCCAGTGAAATGACATAAAAACTGCAAATTTTGTTTCAATAAAGATTTTTGTCAAAAATTAAGGAAGAAAGATACTAGATTTTGGTGGACTCAACATGGTACTGCTATATATGTAAGTTACCCATCCATCCTATCCATCCAGCCATCCTTTATTGAACCTATACGGTAGAAAGGGCTGGAGATATAGATACCATTTTCATTCACAAAAAAAACTTAGTCTAATAAGAAAAAGTTTGAAAAGTTCGGTTCAGTTTATTACAGTGTCAAGTAGATTTACAACTATTGCACTTATCATTCTGCTGACAAAAGGCCAAAATTTAAGAGGGATGTTTTTCTCCAATAAAGCTAGGATTTTCATGATCTTCAATATAAGATGTTAAAATTATACAAAGAAATATACCTCGTTCTATTCCAGACACACGCCCTGCTTCCTGTTGTACACCTTGCTGCAAATGGGACGTTAGTTGGGATAATGCTTTAAGTCATCCATTTCTCATGAAATCACTCGAGTAAAATTTGACAAGAGTTTTCTTTATACTGTCTTCTTGACACAAAACATGTAAAAAAAACAGCCCCTATATCAATTATAACCATATAACTGAGACATGACCTTTAAATCAAAGACTAAGTAAATATATCCTCCCTTATCAAACCCCATGTGGTGTTCACATAACCCCACTGGCTGCCTCACTTTTGGGACAATGGGAAACAATAATAAAAGCTAAAATGTGGCCCTGTACATGAAACTGTTCTCAAAAAGAGAGGAAAGTCATGAACATTGTTGGGAAAGTTTTACATTTCCAATGAAATTCTATTCCATGGATTTGTTCGGAAGATTGTCTTTGACCTATTTGGCTTTTTTGGCCCATAAACTGTATTGATTCAGTTCTATAAAGAACCACTTTTATTTTAAGCCTGGCATGCATAACAATGGATACAGCAGGAAAGTGTTTTTTTTTATTATTTGTTTTTGGGTTTTTTTTGATGAGCTGGGGGAAAAACCCAAGAAAGTATCAGCCTTCAGTCTTCTTAAATTATTTTCAGTTCTGATTATATTGGGAAGAAATGAGATGTGGGAGTTTGCATTGTTTCCATCTTAACAGTTGCTCTGTATTCTGAGATATATGTGATTCATAATGTACCACTTCAACAAAACACAGCTTTTATATATTACTGGGGTAACGCAAAGAAAATGAAATTTTCTTTGGGTACCAGTAATTGTCAAAAGAATGATTGCAGATTCAGAAAATGTGCTTTATAATAACCCTGTTAACATAAAGTATACATGGAGGAAAGAAATACGTACAGCAGGTATGTGAAAAGGTTAGTCATATTAGCAAGGCAGCTCAGGATGGTTTTGGTTCTTTTGACTAAGATACATGGATTTTTAACCCCCTTCAAATCCTTGGGCAAAGGGGAAACATGAACACAGGAGCAGTTTGGTGAGCATCAGTTGATTCACCATACTCTTAACAAAGGCTCTGACTAGTCATGAACTACCCCCTCCTAAAGCAAGATTTGCCCTGGTAATAAGGATGATGCGCTCAAGCTGTTAGAGTTAATTTGAGCATCAAAAATGAAATTTAGATTACTAACCATGTCCTGACAGTTACAGCATGTAGAATATCAAACGTCCTCTTTTTAAACTAAAGTAAAAAATGAAGAAGCATGGTTAATTTACTTTTGCTGATGAAAACAGAAGTCCAAGTGCAACTTTTGCTTGTAAGCTTCCCTGTATTTCCTGGGGGGAAGTATTTATCTGCCTTCTAATCCTGCTTGATGTTGTCCTTGGTAGATACTTGTTCATGCACGTTTCTACTGTGAATAAAAGCTAACAATGAAATGTAGACATTTTCTGCTTTCAGAAGATTCTAGAGTACAATGTACAGCATAGATATTTCTTTCAGTTTAAAAAAATAGTGCAAAAAATGTATCTGATAGTCATAGTGATAGTTCAAGTGAGTTCTTGTGCCAAAGAACACAGCCAAGCTTCACCTTTAGCTAACTTGTAAAATCTGAACGTAGTTTTTGGGAAATATTCCAGATTTTCCCATTAGTTCTCCACTCATCCAGTCATCATCTACAGATTCCAGCTCTGTTATTATATCTCCAGCCTGTAAGAAAACAGGAATTGGAAAGAATTATTAGTTTCCGTTGAGTATAAACATGGTAGGCAGCCCATCTGGAGAGGCATGTATAATCTTCTCTTTAATTTATCATGATTTGCTGAGAGGATTAAATGATACACCACAAAGATGATCTGTATGTGATGATACCATTTACTCATATGCCTCTTTTCCTCAAAGCCCGTTCCTTTGCCGATGTCACTCCAGTTGCACTTTTATTTTCCTGCTTGTATTTTGTGCCTCCCAAATTCACCATTGCTAATCTAAAATTATTTAATAATAATACCAGCTATTTTATTTACACACACACACACACACACACACGGTGCCAAAAAAATGTATACACATTTTAAGAAAGAAAAAAAAACCTGCATTAAAATTGTAATATACAATATATACCGATAACTAAAGACGAATACAAGTCATGTATACTATACATTTTTTGGCACCCCTGGGTGTGTGTGTGTGTGTGTGTGTGTGTGTTTATGTATATATATTATACAGAGGGTGCCAAAAAATGTATACACATTTTAAGAAAGGAAAACTGTATTAAAATTGTAATATACAATATATACCGATAACTAAAGACGAATACAAGTCATGTATACTATACATTTTTTGGCACCCCTGGGTGTGTGTGTGTGTGTGTGTGTGTGTGTATTCCGCCCCATCTAACAATTATTTACTGAGTACCCACCATGTGTCAGACACTGTTGTTCACGTCATTATAGATACAGCAATGAATAAAGATCTCATTCTAGAGAAAGGGGACAAATAAATATGCCGGCAGAGAATGACAGAAAGTGGGGAGTTACCATCTCATTAGGGCAGTCAGGGAAGGCCCCACTGAAGGTGACATTTAAGCAAACACTTGGAGATGAGTGAGCCCTGTGCTTACTCTAAGCTTTGTTCTATTCTATGTACTTTATAGGAATTAACTCATTTAAAAACACAGCAATCCTAGAGGTGGGTACTATTATTCTTCCCATTTTAGAGATATGTGTACAGATTTCCTTATTTTAAAGAAACAGAAACTGAAGCTCAGAAGAGAGATTAGGTTACGTGCTGAGAGTCCCATGTCTAGGTAGTGGTAGGGACAGGATTCGAATCTAGTGTGATCTCAGGGCCTGCATTTCTAACCATTAGGCTATGTCGCCACGCCATTTTTACAGTGGACCTCTTTATTTACAATGGCTTTTACTAGAATTGCCTTTTCTCAACATCCTGAGCATTCTGAACTCTGCCTTTATTCTTTCACATAATGGTATTCTCCTCTACCATATGGTTTATTCCATTCCTCCTTGGCCTCAATATCAAATTTGCATTTTTTCCCCATCTTAAAGAGCCTCACTCTGACTCAGAATACTGATTTATCCTCATTAGGTTAGTCAAAGGGACTGTGTGTGAATAAAAATTCCTCAAAAGATGACAAAAGTTTTGAAATTATCTCCTGAAACCATTTTGTTCTTTATTGTTTCTAACAATTTCTTAGAATCTGGGTTTCAGATTCTATAATGGTCCAAAATGACCCTAGCTTCTTTAAAGAATATCTTTATCAAGCTAAATGGATTTATTTGTAGCCCTAGTACATAGCCCTCTGGAAAAAAATGGTTTGATTTAAGGCCTTTCTTATGGAAAATGGAAAGGAAAAATGCTGACTATCAAATGTCATTAATTTACTCTGCTAAAATCTGTAAAATATCTGGCTATTCAAAGTTTCTTTTATAAGTGAGTTCCTTCTGGTGTCTAAATTAAAACATAATGGTTCACTCAGCTCTTACGTACATAGCATGACAGTTTTCTGAGGGCTAGGACAATTTTTTAAAAAGTTTTATCTAATATTCTGTGGATATTTAAGAAAATATTAATGATCAACAATACTGAAAGCAGTGTAGAATCCTTTAACTAAAAACACTCTAGAACCATCCTGCTTACAGTTAGTCACTTGTAAAATGAAGACCACCTATTTTCTGGAGGACACTGAATTCTAACAAATGAAGGCCAATATAAGATCCAAAAAGTTTGAATCCAGATTGTTCACTTGAAGTAATAATCCATATAAAGATAAAAGGAATGAATTTTGAGACACTCATTCCCAAAAGACTAAACAGGACTCGGGCGACAGTTTCCAAACATTTGGATTTTAGGTACCAACATAATAAAAAAAAAAAAAGGAAGTGAGATATGGTTATCAAATCATAATTTTCCATAAGAAATATCATTTACTAACCATCATTTATTTATTTTTTTAAATTCTATTAAGTTTATTGGGGTGAGTTTGGTTAATAATATTATACAGGTTTCAAGTGCACAAATTCTATAATTCATCATCTGTATACTGCATTGTTTGTTCACTAATATTTCATAATAGAAATGACATTTTAATATGAAAAAGATAAAAGAAATTCTCAGAAGAAATAAAAACTCCATCACAAAATAGGAAAGTTAGCAACCTTATAACTGACATCTCTCAGGATGCCCCCTTACTTCATGACTCCCCAAAAGCCTGTATGTACCCAATATCACACTGTTTTCCTCATTTTGTTGTGAACAGGTGAAATCCTTGTTTGGCACCCACTGGTTTGAGTCTCACCTTGTCCAATCACTCCTTGATGCTTTCATTCTCCCTGCGGCATCCCTGCCTCTGACTGAGTATGTCCAAAAGATGGAGAATTTACTGCTGTCTGACGCAGACTCTTCCGCGAGCACTGACTACTAAAACCACCCTCCTTCCTCTGACACAGTCTCAAAGTACCACCCCGGGCGCGTTCCTCTGACCATGATCCAGCTATGGACTGGGGAAACAAGGTCATAGAATTTTTCCTTTATTAATTAAAAAAAAAAAATAAGAGGCACTCCTTGAAGAAGATTAAGATTAAGATTAAATTTTAGAAGCTAAAAATCCCTTTATAAAGTAGCTTAACTTTTGGGGTCAGTTCCCCACAGCCTAGTCAGTGTCTGTGGACAAGACGCCAGTGTCGTGAGGCACTGCTGCAGCGGCAAGTTATAACAGGTACCAACCGATTTCTCCACTGATTTCAAAGCCATGATTACAGCAGGCTTCAAGGGCCGTGTACGGGACCATCCTTTACTAGGGCCACCAGTGAAAACTCCAGTATTACGGTGATCTGACGTTAAAAGGCCTAGGAATAAGGAATTTGGGGATTGTGGGGTATAAAGCCTATAAGATTTCTTTAAGTACCTAAACACCTTGCTGATAATTTACATTGGCCCTGTTCACTTTCTTTAATCTTGTCCTTTAGAATTACAGTGGAAGATACGTGCATTCTTGGCTAATGATCAATATCCCACCCTTCAATGGGAAACATTTCAAAATTTTTACTTGCTTAATACAGTTACAAAAAGATAGACATTCTGACCTTGAAGGAAAGCTCATCTTCATTCTCCCCGTGGAAATCATATAAGGCCTTGGCTCTCCTCCCCTTCAGTGCTAAAGCAGACATACTTTTTGCCTCCACTGTGAAGATACAAAAATTCAAATATACAGAAACACATTGGACTAAAATACAAATCACACATTTGAAGAAACCCCCTTGTCATTCCCAGGGCAAAATATTTTCAATTAAGTTTGAATGTATTGAATTTACAAAAAGATGAGAGATGTTCTCTTAGCAAGAAAACAATAGAAAATACATTTAGTAAACAAAATTAGCCATTATCAAGTGAAGGGATTTTTGTCTTTTTCCCCCCATAACTCCAAGAAAGTATATGAATAAGAGACTTTACAAAACTTTATGGATCAACTTTTTCAAACACAGGCAAACAACTTAAACTGAGCATGGCCAGGAGGAAATGAAATATACATCGTTTTAGAGGTCTTGGGCTCCCTCTGAGAGAGTGAGAGTCATTTCCTGTAATTGTCCTACCTGGGCAGGGCCGCACAAAGACTGCTGGGAAGATCCCCTCCCTGTCACGCAGTCTGCCCTTGTACCAGTCGGAGTCCAGGCGCTCGAGGATCAAGATCTGGTCTCCCCTCTGGAAGGATAAGTCATCGCTGGTCTCTGCCGTAAAACTGTGAAGAGCTTCGCACCATTCTCCAGAAAGACTGTTATCCTGTTACAAATCAGAAATTTGATAAGAATGTGAGATTTTGTTTGAAACTGATTTCTACAAAGGTTAAAAAATGGTAGAGGAAAAGCTAAGAAGTCGTAAGATTTCAAAGCCTGAAGGCTTCTTTAAATCACCCAATACTTTATGTTGCTATCAAGTTTTAGAAAGTTTCCAATAACTTTTTTTCTCAAAATTTAAGTCTGTATGACAGATGTGATAGAATTTGTGGCTCTTCTGCTTTTAAAAGATATACAATATTTAAGCAAAACCCTTTTTCTAATTATGTCTATGACAGTTATATTTTAAAAACTAGGTAAAAGCATACAATATTTATGTATAGTATTTATGACACTATGAAAAAAATTCTAGTAATGTAATTTCCAGTGAAGCTCCTCTAAATTATGAAGGATCAGAGAGGCAGTCTATTAATTCCCAGGTCTTTACCTGATTCAGAGGCTATCAAAGTCCATGGTATGGGGCTTGATTAATCTATACTTTTAATTTTATGAAGCAGTTAGCTCTAAGGCTGGCAGAATAACCACCCGAATGTGCTGGGCTAGTATGACGAAACGCTCCAGCAAGAATGCTTTAACCCCAAACGTATCAGAGGAAGGTCCTGCTCTGTGAAGAAGTGTTTCTGCCAAGTCTGGGAGCCCTGTGTTCAAAAGGCTCAAGTAGGGAGGAGAGGAGAATGCTAAGGGCAAAGGCTTGGAGTCAGACAGGCCTGCGTTCCAGCCCCAGCTCTGCCGCTTCTTAGCGGACACTGGTGAGATGATTCTCTTCTCTGAGCCTCAGCTTCACCTTAGGTTGCTGTGAGGATTAAATGAGATAATGCATGTGGAGCCCTTAGCACAGTGCCTGGCATATCTTAAGTTCTCCACAGCTGATGGCTTATAAAACAAAAACAAAAAACCAAGCAAACAAAACCTCCTAACCCTAGCCCTCTTGCTCCTGCGCTAGGGTAACCAACCCTGAAGAATGGTAATAATCACTCCCAAGACATGCAGGCAGCGATGCATTTCCTTTGGAAATCTGTTGTCACTTTCTTCCCTGTTTGACTGGATCAATAAGTAGGTGGGGATGAAACAATTAAGAGACACACAGCCCAATGACCGGTTACATTCTGACGACCCCGTGAAGCTCATTCTTTTAAAACAGGTCACAAAACACAATGGAAGTCACATTCCTATTCAGTTTAAACACTTCTCAAGTCATGTTATACATGTAAAAATTTTAATCCAGTCTTCTCTCTTTCCTATTGTAAAAAATGCAAACGTTCTCTAAATATTTGGCAAATGTACGAAGAAGTGGGAAAAATGCCTACTAATCTATAATCTTACCACAAAGGGGGCAACTGAATGTTAATGAATAGTCTTTCTATGCTATGTATTCAATTTCCTGTAAGGCATGTTCTTCTCCCATGACATTTATCGTATTTCCCCATGTATAAGACACTCCCATGTATAAGACGCACCTTAATTTTGGGGCCCGAAATTTGAAAAAAATGTGTTACATAAAGTTATTGAACTCAAGTTTTATTCATCATAGAATTCATACAACTCTTTACTTGCGGGAAATGCAAGTAAAAAAATATCTACAACCACTGTATAAGACGCACCCAGTTTTTAGACCCCAAATTTTTCAAAAAAGGGTGCATCTTATACATGGGAAATACGATATTTTATAAATCTAGTTTTCCATGGCCTCAGAACATTCTACCAATCAATAATGATCATATTTAGGTTGTCTCCAATTTTTTCCTATTATAATAATGCCACTATGGCTATCTTTGTGACTAAAACCTTGTCTCATTTTTAGCCTTTCATAGTCAGAAAAAAAAAACCATTTTGTCAATTCTCTTTTTTTACACTCATATAATTACTTATTTAGTGTTGAATTGTGTTGAATCTTTGTTAACCAGGTAAGTTAAATGTTATTTTATTGCTGCTTTACAAGGCATTTTCTTGATTACTAGTAAGGTTAATTATCTTAATATTAGCCACTTACACCATCTCTTTTATTCGTCAATCATGTCTCTTTCCTTGTATTCTATCAGGGTTTGCATGTCTTTCTAATCCATTTGTATGAGTTCTATATGCAAGATAGCTTTTAACTATCTAACTGTTTATTTCAAACATCTATATGAATTGAAAAGTGATTTCATAACATTTTCTCTTGAAAATTATGATTTTAATATTACTCCCAGGGTTAAAAACCTGGCTTTCACTACAGTTATCTATTCAAGGAGCTTACCTGAGAATTTGCTCCACAATCTTCCTTTTTGGTCTTTGATGATACATTTCTGCCTATATTAAAAAAAAAAAAAGAAGTCAAAACTTTAGATGTAAAGACCATTGTCTTCATATTTTGGCTATGACACTCTGACCAGGCTCTGTCCTCTGTGGGTTTATTTCCTTTTACTGTGAAGTGAGGGAGGTAACCATTGGTTACACTCTATAGTCCATTTCTGTTTAAAAGTCTATGATTCCTCACCTGCCATTTCTGATATGAAGCTATTACTAATTGCCTACAACACCAAAAACAGCTCTTTGAGAGATTACCACATCATGTCTATCCCACACAAATGACCACTGTAAAACCATTTCTTTCTCCCTTAAAAAATATGGCAATTGGATTATTATGCAGCTTAAGTATTATCCTATTATTTGGTTTACTTGAGTGAATCAAAAATGATATTCTCTATACTCACTTAAAACATTTGTACCAGAGGTGGGATGTTCTTCAATAAGCTCCACAAAGTGAAGGGGGAAAACCCCCGTTTTGTCTCGAAGTTCTCCTCTGGCCCATTCTTCATTCACATACTCTTTAAGAATAATAGTTTCTCCCTCCGAGAAACTTAACTCATCATTCTGGTGTCCAATATATTCAAATCGAGCCACACATCTTGGACCTCTGAACAAAGATTACATTTGTGGGTTACACTAGATTATGAACGTGCAGAATGTGTTAAAATCTTCATTTAGTTTTTCAATAAATATATATTCTGTTTACTATGGAACAAGGTATAGTGGGCATAATTTAAACTTTTCCATGAAAAAGAATAAGCTACATTTCTAAATGATAGTCCTTACGTTTTAGATCTGAACCTAGTTACTCAGAAAGGGTCAAGTCAGTGTGACAGAGACATGTAGAATTCCATAAGCTGGGGGTCATTTATACTGCCATGTCTTCTCATCACCTTTACTTCATTACAGAATCTCCCCAGTCTCCAAGTCTTTGTATTCTGGGGCCAGTCTGAACCCCCTGCTATAAATGCACCCAGTTTAGGAGCGCTAAGCCTAGGGCTCTCAGGGCAAGCCAGCCAATTCCCACAGGAGAATGTGAGGGCATCAGCTGGGCAGTGTAGATGCTCAGTATATGTTGAATCTGTCAGTGAGTTGTATATAGAGATGAATGGTCTTCAAAGCTAGAAGGTTCGAAGAAAACAAACTCGGAATATTATCTTACAACACTTAGTCTTAGACCTAACACTGTTGTTTTAAAAATGGTTTTGGCAGCTTCTTTTAAAAAGCTTCATTTCTGAGAATTAGAACAATCCTTAAATGATCTGCGATTCTGACTGAAATTAACATAAAAGCAGAGATAAAACTCTGTCTCTATAAGGCAAGATTTAATACCAAACCTTCCATTTGAGGCTTAAGAAGTTTCCGTAGCAAGGGGCTAAGGAGATGGAACTGCCTGAAAAGAAAAGGTTGGTACTGGCTCAAATCAAATTCTGATTTAAATCAGGTCAATGGATCAATGGCTGTGAAAGACCACTTTAAATTCAACCTGCTGACACATGAAACGCTGCTTAAAAACAGGAGAAAAACTGAAATAGTTGAAATAGAATCCAACTATTGTGGTATCAGAAGTTTTCTTATTTGTGGTGAACTTTGCATTTATTTTCTAAAGTCCTCAGGGAAGCATCTCCTTATGTCTGACCTATTCAAAGACAGGTTTACAGTCTTCGGCAGGTAGCGAATTCTATTAATTTGCACATTTAACTGGAATATAAAGTTGCACTGAGGCAGTGTTTTAAATCAGGGAGTTACAATGATGCATAGAAAGGTACATAAATTGATGGAAAGGTGTTCAGACATGAAGGCGGACTCCTCCACCTTAACTCTTCCTTTACTTTCTTCTAGTTCCTATTAAAAACAACACAGTACAAAATATAGCGCAGTTTTTGTAGGGTTCTTATTTCTATAAGGTTGAAATAGTTTCTGTGACAAAAATATCTGAACCTCCTAAAAATTTGTTAGTAGATAAACACCAGAAGGTCAAAATAAAATACAATGGCTGATAAAACCATCTGTGCTCAAGCTGAGGCCAGGCTGTGGGAGGCATCAGGCTCCTGTTTGTGGCTGTCTATATGTACTGAATTGATATGGAGAATTGCCTATGTCAGCTTCCATCAGCATGTTGCCTTTTCATCAGAATTTCAATCCACTATGGCTTTTATACAAGTAAAGTTTTCCTTGTAATTAAAAAAGACACAGTGAGGGGGCCGGCCGAGTGGCTCAGTGGGTTAAGAGGTCGCTCAAGAGTGCGAGCTCTGAGCAACAGCGGTTCGATGCCCGGTCCGAGCTGAGCTGCTGCTGAGCTGCCAACAGGTGGCAGGATGGCTCAGCTAAAAACAAACAAACAAACAAAAACACAGTGAGAGTCAATGACCACACATGTAAAGTGTTTAAGCTTGGTAATTCTTTATGATATAAATGCTTGCCTTCTTTGTATTTTGTGCATAAAAACACAAATACAACTTACTTAATACAGTGAGATGAAACCGATTCTGTTTTCCCATTTTCTCCGTCTGGAACATCAATCTAGTAAAGACAATTGTATATTTTCAGATGTTTGGTAAGGTAAATTTAAGGCTAGGCAATTAGGCAATGCATGATTGAAATTAACCAGTTTAGTGAGGTGGTAAACTGATTAAGTGGTACCCTCAGGGCTAAAAGGTTAGAAATCCAAAATTTGGATTTGGAAAAAAATAAAAGTATAACTTGTGATACAGTCTTTCTTTAATGGCCAATCAACCCTTCTCTTATTTGCTGGAGTAAGCACATTAATACCATTCTACCTCTGAGTTTTCCCTGTTCTGTATCCTCTAAGTTGAAAACTTCAGATGAGGTGAACTTACGATAGAAACTAGGCATCAGGCATTCGGGCACTATCATTACTCAATGAAATTCTGCAATACTTTCCTGATCCCAAATAAAACATTTTAATCACACTTGTGGATTCTCCCCGTTTTCATAGTTCTGGAACTTTTTCTTTTTCCTTCAATGTGAATAGGGAAGAAAGGAATTAATACTCATGAGTATCTACTAAGTAGCAAGCACTTTGTATAATACCTCCTTTACAAGGATCAGTGGAGCTGGGTTGTTAATAAAATATCTGACCATAATGCATTCAGTCTGAAAACTACTGAAGGCATTGAGATTTATATTAAATAAATCAGTGCGCTTCTTAATGAATTCTAAAAGCTCAAAGTTTTAAGACAACTTTTTTAAACTTGTAGGCTTAGAAATAATACTTATACCAATAAGGCGGCAGATTCAGTGTAACTGATTTCAGTATGGTAATTGTGCTTTTCAAGTACTGCTACATTGGGCAGAAGAAAAATGAGGAAGAGTGCTAAAACTAACATTATTCTTAATATTAATTTAGAGAACGTGGTTGGATTTCTCCAAAGAATCAGGGCATACAAATACTGGACAACTGTTGAGACCCACATTTTGTAATTCAGGAGAATCAAACTCATTTATACTTGAAAAATACAGGTTCTATGTTATATTTGTTTCCTAAATTTCTGATACAACAGAAAATCATTTACTTCCCTCCTCCCCCAAATAGCTGTTAATGCTCAACTATTTAAGCTGGCTTTATTGCTCTTTTGCAGTATCAGTAAGCTATATCAGAGACAGAGTCATACTCTTCTTATTGATATAAAGGGGCCATCTGACTTATCCCCATGCTTCGTAGCCACCTGGGCCTAGCACTTAGGGCTGGTCCGTACAGGTCTGCTTTTACAAGGTAGACTGTGAGGATGGATAAAATTCTGACAATATAACTTTTCCCCAATCAGATTTGAAATTTTCATGTGAAAAACCATTAATGTACCACCATCTCCAATAAAAGTACTTTAGTATTCCTAAATCTATTTTTTGGGGATGGAAAGAATAAAAGAAACCAAAAATAAAATGTACTTCAAAGAAAAGGAGAAATGGTACCATAACCTTAGAAAACATTCCTTCAGGACAATCTAGTACCATTTCAGTTTGTTTACTCAATGTTTCAAAGAATTAACATATATCCTTAAGTGTTTACCAACCCTCCAAGAATGCTGATTCACAAGTTGACCTGTAGTGTTTTCTCACCTTAGGATTTCAGATAGCATTTAGGAATCATGTTCTAATGATTCATAATATAAGTAACCATTATTTAATTGAACAAACCTTTATTGTTTGAACTTTCCAAATACCAAATGAATCAGTGGAAGAGAGATAACTAGAATCAAAGAATCTATGTTACTTTTTCCCAACTGCAAGTTATGCAGAACCTACTGAACACATGACCAATTTAAACAAGCATGACCCACTTACAATCACTTTGACATAGTTGGCAGGAAATATGCCAGTCTGGTTTCTGCATTTCCCTCTGTACCAATCTGCACCTATTTTTTCCAGAAGATAAATAATTTCTCCAGAAGTGAGGTTCAAATCATCAACTTGCTCTGTAACATAAAATTATAATTGTGTACAATGAATTATTCTGGTTGCAGATTTGATTAAAGCAGAGCACAAAGTAGCACTTAGTTCTGTCCACTGAAGCAGAATGTTCCACTGATTCTGAAAACAGATTATACTAATCAAATTGCTTTAAAAAATGTATCTTTTTTTTGGATATTGCTGTTATGAACTTCCTCTTTTAAGATTAAATTAGATACGTTTGCCATGCATTGATTGATAGAAAACTGTTAAAAAAAACAACAACATTGCGCTGGCCCATGGTTCCTACTGTGCCAATATAAACCTTATGCTGATTATATATTTAACAATGAAAGGGTTTATAGATATGGTATAATATTTTTATTACTCTCAATCATGCTTAAACATCATTTCAATTTCAAAATACTAACTAAGAGAATGCTACAGATCTTTAGCAAGTAAATTTACTCACCCTAAAATAAAAATCAGTCTACCAAGTAGATAAAATGAGGTTATAAATAAATCAGGAGTTTATTTGTAGTCTTGGATATAAAAGGTATTTAAAAATTGATTATAAAAATGTATCTTTTCATTTCATAAGTAATAGCTGAGCTACGTGTGTAGGTTTTATAGTTCTTAGGAGAAAAGAACTTCACTTGTACAGCTGTTTTGAAAGAGTTAAAATGTTTGCCACTGGTAGGTAATGTGCTATTTGTTCATTGGTAAGGGGAACATGCCCCCACTCCCCGAGCAGTTTCAAAGGCAAGGGTATGCATGCAACTCAGCTCTCTGGAATGGTTGGGTACAATGGACCATTCCTGAAGGCAGGGTGATTGATAAGGTGACCTCTCCAGTCCATGACTCTGCTGCACAGAGAATGAAGAAGGATGCCCTTGAGAGATTAACCAAGGATCCTGGATCCTACCCCTTTATTATTATTTATGTCCTTACCTGCTGGAAAATCATGAAGAACGACAGCATGAGGAACGCTACTGTCAACAGGCTCCAGCGCGTGGCTTGGATCCTTAGGGGGGAAAACATGGCTGTAAATGAAGTGCGCTGGATGGTGCTAGATTTATATCCACTCTGAGACCATTTTTTTTTTCTCTCATTAGAGTCCTCTTGACATTATGAGGACAGATGCAAACTTGAGTCAAATAAGAGAATCATTATCAAGTTGAAAACGCATGTGTCCTTGCCAAGAGAGGACAGAAGTAACTCTCAGTTATAATCTCCTCGAGCATTTTTTAACCAAAGAAGGAAAACAAAACAGACTTTTTTTTTTTTTTAACCAGTACCTATTATACCCTGAAGTAGTGGTTTATGACCTCTTTACCTTTCAAGGGTAGTTTTCCCTAAAACTGTGATCGGGATTAAATCTTAAGAACAGAAACTTAAAAGTTGTGTCTTCATTAAGATGAGCAAAGAAGGAAGTTCTGCAATTTATGCTCTTGCCTTTCATAATGAAAAGAGCCAATGACTTCCACAAAAGTATAATTCACAAAAAGTAAAATCCATTTCATTTATTGCCACTTAACTGAATGTTTTCTTTAATTTAAAGCCAACACTACTTCCTCCTATGCATGGCCTGGATTTTCTATTTAAACTCAATGGTTTATTCAACAGCAATTCTAAATAAATTAGCAAAGAGAATTCAATATTCTCTCCCCATGTAGCCAACTGCCATAGATTGGCTAGAGGGGAGGGGAGAGTTGAAGAGTGACCTTTTCTTATTAATAAGCAGTTGTTATTCTTAGTTTCTTTTTATGAACAGACAGGCTAATCCACATCATCATCATCATCATCACCATCATCATCATCATCATCAAATCGGGTTGAAGGGTAACATTCGGAGTTACAATTTAAAACTCTTCAACACTGGCAAACCTGCGAAATAAATGAAGGCTGATTTTTGTGCCTCTGCTTACCTCTTCACGTCCTTCACTGACTCTTGTCCCCTCAGGGGTGTCCCCACACTTCTATTCCTCTGTCCCTCCCCCTGGCCATCCATGATGCAGCCATATGATCAGACTGCAATGTGGATAACAGTACACCCTTCTCCATTTCCACCCTGCTGCACCTCTGCTCAGATCTATTCTGAATTTCCCCTGCTCTTTCAGCCAAAACGCACCTCTGGAGGCATGCTGCAGTCTCTCAAGTTAGGGAAATGGAAATACCAATTTACGTCAAGGCAGTAATGGCTAACGGCCATTCACCAAAGTAACACTGACATTTTCTTAGGGGCTGCTCATTGCTGTTTTTTAAATAAATGAGCATCATGAGAATTTCAGGGACTATGGAAAGCAATCGTGAAATATTTGAAGTCTAGAGGGACTTTTAAAAATTATCATTTACATAATTTAATATATGTGTGGTTTTCTTTCTTTTTTCTTATTTACATCTGTGGAAAAAGGAATGACTTCAATAAATGGTGTTAGGGTAGATGGTTCTCCATTTGTTAGAGGCCTACCGCACACCAAACACAAACATGAATCTGCAAGTGGACCAACAGTCTAAACATAATCAAGCCTGAGAAGGCAGCAGAGGTGGGGTGATAACCTGTGCCCTCAATTAGCTTCCCTTGTCTGTCTTCAGTATACGCATAACCCTGGCGATGATGCTCGTTAACCTGGCCTGGCAGGTGAAGGGCAAGAAGAAAAGGCTCAACGGGGCTGGCCACAAGGGGTCAGTACAACTCAGACCACACTGTTAGTGGGGGATCTGGTAGATAAATCTGACATATTTCAAAGCTCTTCCTAATATGACTCCAGTTGCTAATACAAATGAGTAATAGTAATAGCTAAGAGTCACTGTTCACTCACTGTATGCTACTGTGTTAAACACCTTATATCCATTAACTAGCTCATTCACTTTTTAAACATCTTTTAGACATAATTCACATATCATAAAGTTCACCCATTTAAAGCGTACAGTTTTACTATACTGACAGAATTGTGCAACCATCTCCGCAATCTAAGTTTAGACCTTTTTTTATCACCCCCACCCCCCCAAAAAAACCCTACCCATTAGCAGTCCTTACCCCATTTACCACCCCCTCCCTCACCCCCAAGCCCGAGGGAGCCACTTCCAACTTCCTGAATTTACCTATTCTGGACTTTTATAGAAATGGAATAATACAGTATATCAATTCTAAAGACAACTCTGTGAGGAATTATCATACCTATCTCATACACTTAAAAAATGAAGTTTAGAGAGGTTGAGTAACTGCCTAAGGCGTGGAAGGGGCACTGAGACCCAGCTCCCAGAAGCCCAAACCTGTGCCCGCAGCCGGCTAACCATCTCCCACTTTCCCATGATCTGCGGATTCAGTCTCCATTGATAATGTTCAATATTTTCTGTTTACTACAGTATAACATATTTTTATATGTTATATAACATATTTTTAGAAATCTTTACCTTAAAAGTAGGCTTTCAAATACGGTAAGTTTTATTTTTCTAAAAAAATTTAATGCTAGCCTAAAAGAGGCTTCATTTTAGTATCACCAGTAGTCGGCCATCAGAGGCCAACTGTGCTAGTCTATGGTACAAGATGAGTAAGGTCATGTTTAAAGCGGAAAAAAACTTTTGACTGTTGAAAAACAATAACTTGGGCCAGCCGAGTGGCGCACTGGTTAAGAGCTGGCTTGGGATGCCAGAGGTGTCCCCCATTCAGATCCCGCGTGTGAGAGCCAGTGACACTGCCCTCTACAGCTGATATGCTGAACAGCAGCTCAACTTGGAGCTGGGCTGCCGTGGGCTGCCGTGGGTTGCCAGCAACGGCATAGGCTGCAGCCCCTGCTGCAGTGGGTTGCCATGGGCTACCGGCTACCGTGTGTGGCCAGCAGCCAGCGTGAGCGGCCAGCAGCCGCAGTGAGCGGCCGTCCAGAGGACGGTGACTGATCTGCCTCGCCCAGGAAGAGCACAGTGATGGTGCCAACTTGGGCCAGTGAAGCAACGTCCTCCACAACTAGACTGAAGAACAAAATGACAGCAACTTGTCTGTTCTCCTTCCCCCAATTCCCCAGCGCTGTTCCAATTCCCCAATAAAAATCTTTAAAAAAAAAGAAAAGAAAAAAGAAAAACAATAACTTCTAAAAATAAATAGATAAATAACGGGAGAGACCTGTTAGCTCAGCTGGTTAGAGTGTGGTGCTGAGAATACCAAGGCTGTCGGTTCAATCCCCGCATGGGCCACTGTGAGCTGCGCCCTCCTTAAAAGTCAACTATGCCATTGTAGCATGAAAGCGACATGTAACCAATGACCATGGCTGTTCCCCAATAAAAATAAAAAAAATTAAAAATAAATAAATAACTTCTAATTTTTGTGGCTTCTGTTTTTCATACATAAAAGCTTTTGGCAGTCCAACTCTCCTGGTCACCCATCAGTGTGTTCTGAGAGGCTGGACAGCTGTGACAGATGGATAATGCTATATAAAAACAAAGAGAAAATGAGGATAGAAGACCTTGCCCCATATGAACTACACTTAAGAATTTTCAGTATCCCAGCTGCAACTAGCTTAACACTTCTCTCCTCTGCTCTCCCAATATACACATTTTCAGTTTCTCAGCAAACTTCAAAAGATAAGCTGCCTTACAAGAAGAAAGAACTGGACTAGATTATGAAAACGAGGATGAATGATAAACCAAATACTTGACTTGGGTTAAATGATTGGTGGGTATAATTTTTCATGTTTGCTACATTAACTGATAGTGAAAATTTAATTGGATAACTTAAGGAACTCTTTGTAAAATCCACCTCTATACAGTGTTCAATGGCATTTTTCCTGCTAAACAAATGACCTTCAATGATCACAGTATTCTCTCAGGCTCCGCAAATTGGTTAGGCCTAAATTGTGACTCCAGGTTGTTGGATTACGTTTCATTTCATTATTTTATGAGCTATAATCAGAGAAATGAGGTTTACACAAAGCTTAAATCTTAAAGGGAAGTGCTTTTTTATGTCAGACTTAGCATTTATAGGGCCCCTTCTAAAATAATTATCCATTCTGCTAGGAAAGTAATCTCTGGCACTTTACTAAACATCTTTGCATTATTTAAAAAATAAATGGCCCTCACAGTTGAACATTAATGACTGAGTGCTCTGGTTGAAATAAGTCAGCATGATATGAAAAAGGCAAAACATGTGGTAGTCACTGTATATCAAGGTGATTAGTAAGGCAGTGGCAAGTCTCTTAGAAGTAATTTATTCTTAAAATGGAATAAAAACGCTACTGTAATTTTTACTTTGGTTAAAATAAACGTGCTAATAAAAACCTAAGGATGGAATATAATTAATAGTTCTATGAAATGTGCTGCCATGGCTGATCTGAGGGCCGTATAATATTCATTTCTTACGCTTGCTCTGCTTCTCAGATGTTCATCAAGTGGGGTGATAATCTTCATCTGAGACAGGTGAACTCTGCCAGCATCTTCTCCCTTTTGGCATTCCAAGTAATTGTTTTCTGCCTGCTTCAGCATCACGAGTACGTCCCCACGCTGTAAGGTACAATACCCCTCTCTGAAGCAATTATTATTTAATAAAACATTATTACTTTTTCCACATTTTAATCTTTGAGGCCTAAAGCATTTAATAATGTGTAAAGCAGTAACAGAGGCCAGTGGTTTTTTCACGTTCCTCAGTAAAGAAAGAGCTCCACTTTACCTTACAAGAGAGTTCGCCGGGGTTTTGCGAGACAATGTCTTCATTGGCAATTCCATGAGGCACAGGCAGCTTAAACATAACCAATGAGAAGATTATTCACAATCAAATAACCTCCTCATAAATTGCTGGTCACTTGGGGATTTGGCACGTGAGCGAGCCCAAAGTGCAACTTCTCCAGCAAACTCTTGCCCCGGCTTCCTCACGCTCTAGATCCAGCAGGGCCTGCCATTTCTCATGGATACTAAGAGGAGTTGGGGGGCGTGGAGTTGAGCCCACAAAGCCACAGTGGTTGAATGTGGCCTAAAGTTCTCTTTAACAACCGGAACCAGGGAATTCTATTTTATAGAAAAAGGTCCACCAAGTTCCCTGGGTATCTCAAGGGTGAATACTCAGCACCTGACCTCACAGCCTGTCAACACCCGCCTTTAATTCAGGGTTCTCAATGGCGGTCTCCTTAGGGCTGACCTACTTGGCTGGCTGCTTCCATTTGCCTTGAAGCTCACCTTCTAGAGTCGAGTCTCTGATACCAAGCGTCTACTTAAAGCCGCTTCACTGCCCAACCCCAGTCACGTACTGGTCCACGCAGCTCTGTCTGATCTTAGAATGCTGTTTACATCTGTACCCCGCCCTGGCCAAGGGACTCTGTTCCCTGCCATGGAAAACTTTAGATAATGAGTACATGTCAGAGAGACTTCACAATACAAAGGCATGCCCAGGAAATGTGATCACACAAGCTCACTTCCAACAAGGAAAGGGGGGCTGCCTGGGCCCTTCCATCACTCAGGAGCAAAGATGGAGAGCGCAAGGGTGTGAATCTATAAGGCTGGGTTGGGTAGTGCTACTTCTCAGCATCTCTGTGGGAGTCCCAGGACTTACACAGTACCGGTTCCTAGTTAGCATTTAATGGTAGGGTAGCCATGGAAAAAAGGAGGGATTTTAAGGAACTATTTCATAACGAGACATACTACTCTAATATACTGTTATTTTGAATTTATTAATTTGAGTTCTTCAAATGCTTTGTTGACATTATACAGCTATGCTAAGAACCACAGGCAAAATTTGGCTTCTCCTAAATGAGGCTCTTAGCATGGAATGACCAAAACAAGTACAGACTTCAGAACTAGTAATGCTATTTTCATAGTATGGAATAATGGTTAAGAGCATAGGGCTCAGTCAGTTGATCTGTGTTCAAATCTTGGCTCCACCATTCACTGGTTTGCAACCCTGGACTAGTTACTTAGTTTCTCTGTGTCTTATTTTCCTCATCTATATAATACAGATAATAACAGTACCTACCTGACAGGGTTGGTGAGAGGAATAAATGAGTTATTTTATATCTATAAATTGCTTTGAACAATGCCTGTCCCATAATAAGTACTCAATACATCAACTACTATTTTTATTTGTTTTTAAGTAACCTGTCCCAAAGAATACTCCCGGGTTTCAGCAATTAAAAATTTTATCAGTAGAAACGAACATGAATATATATATATATATAAATATACAACCTCTTTCTTATTTTTCTATACCCTTCTCTTAGGAGGATTTTGAAAAATCCTAAATGGCTTAAAGTCAAAACAATTTCTGGCTCAATGATGGAAATGTAGCACAATGTAAAATTACTAATTGCTGTTCTTGTTAAGAGCTACTGTCATACAATTGTTTAAAAAGTACAAACAGTCCTGCTCTCCTTATCATTTTTATTTGTTCTAGATTTTGTCAGGTTATCCTGACCAAAGTAGAGAGAGCACATCAACTCTGTTTTTAAGTGTGGCACATGGAGACAAAGGTGTACGGTCAAATGATAAGAAAAACGTTCAAGAGAACAAAATTAGTATCTCAACTATCTCAATTATTGGCGAAAACTTCTAACTGCTAACTATTAAATGGACAGTGATAATTAGGTTTACAAAAGGGGAAAATGAAGGGAAAACCATCCATCTAGTATTAATAAGACCTTTCTTTTTACTTCATTTAAAATTTTACTCTGTGGGCAAGGGATATAAACTATATCATCTGTCAGAGTTACTCCCATTGGTCTAATCTACTAGGTCAGGTGTTTCAGAGTTTCTGTTTGGTTAATCCAAACAGAACTGCTTCCTTTTCCTATATTTCTCCTAATAAAGAAACCCTATTTTAAGGACCAAGGTTTTTTATGGTCTACATATCTAAAGCACTCTTAGGATCAAGGATCAAGTCCACATTTGTCTCATTGTCTTTTTCTAAGGAATAATGAATGGATCTTCTATGTACCTTAGGACAGACCTTTCAACCACAAACATTTTTAAAAGCTAAATTTACCATGTATTTCTTGTAGAGAGAATGTCCTGGTTTAGGGCGAGGGGGTAGCACCGGATTTTGACTTTTGAAAACCTGACTCTTGGCTTTTGAGAAGCTGGATACCAAGTTACTTTGTTTTTTCTGAAGATCCACGTCAGAAGAAGACCGATTAAAAGGCAGTTTTTTATTTGATGTTTTGGTTGTAGAAATTCTAGGGGGAGGTGGTCTCTCAGGGGCTCCCTTTGGAGGAGGCTGTCGAGCTGGTATGACTTTTCCATTTATAGGTCTGAAAGTTAATACAGAAGCTGTAGTCAGTGCTTGATCAATATTAGGTTCTGTTTTGGCTGCACACGCATGCGCACGCGCATACACACACAGAGCTTTCTGCTAGTGTAATACAATTTTCTGAAACATGCGGGGTATGCTATTTTTGAGCAAATGGCTGCTGCAATAAACATTATATTATTAAAGGAAATGCCATGGTGTTCCAGCTTCCTCTTATCTTGCACTAGAGATTCATTAGTTCAATACAAACAAGCATTTACTATCACGAGCTCTCTAAGGCCCCATTTACTCTTAAACACGCCATGACTGTTTTAGGAAACTAAGCACTTTCTACCAAAGTCTGAGATGAAAAGTGTATAATAGGATATCGGGTATGTGTGATGTGGTCTAGTACATGATCAGAAGAAAAATATGAAACTCCCCTAATAGTCATTTTATAGGAATTATTATTCCAATTCTCATTTAGGTTAAAAAAGCTGTTTTAAAAATAGGATAGGATGACCATTACTTGGAAAGCCTTTCCTTAATCCCTGTGATAAAAATAATTTCTAACATCTGATAGCTTCACAGTTTATCATTCAGGTAGCCCTGGAATTCAGGGCTGGTCACCACTGAGCTCAAAAAGCCTGTCTCCCTTTGGAAATGCCAAAATGGGGGAGGGGGAGAGGGAGAGGGAGGGGAGAAGTGAGAGATTTAGAGTTCATTCCAGAAGCGGAGTTGTTTCAGGTTCAGAAAGGAGTCTTGTTCATTTGAGGAGAAGTAACAGAGATCCATGTACATGCTCTGTGAGTTTTTGGATTGTGTTAAAAGATAGAAGGAGCAGAGATTTCTACAACCAGCTTTCAGGAGCAGACTGTAGGCTAATGGTCTGGGTGAATTCGTGAGTTTAATGTATCTCTAAAAGAAGGTCTAAGGACAACAACACTCAGCTTTGACGACAGAAAAAAGAGCCCAATCTCTGAGTCATTAGTTGTTCTCTAACTTACTTTTTGAAAGTTTTCCCATGCTTACCTTGGTGGCAGCCTTGGGGGTCCTCGCACAGAACCTACTGTTTGACCAGCATGGTCGGATTCCTGCAAGTATCAGAGAATGGTTTTTTGTTAAGTTAGTCAGAAACAAGAGCTTGTCAAGAGGAATTTTGGACAACTTTTTGGCTGGATCTATAAGTGGAAATGTAGCTGAGTTAAGAGAAAGTAAAACAAGTTAGAAAGTTAGAGAATGAGTTTTTAGTCTTACGCATTATTGGTTCCTACCTAAATTGTTCATGTCCTAATACAAGGGAAGATGGGGGTGGTGGAGGGTGTCTGCTATCGTGGATCATGGCCCAACCAACTGCCCTGCATGGTGATACACCCAGCAGATTCATGTGGTATTAAGGATGGATGATTATCTGAATCGCAATAAGTTGCTTACACAGTAAGAATGTAAGCAGGCACTGTAGGGAATTAAAACATATATATGGCCTTTATTTATCCCATGATGACACGTAAGATATGCACTGCTCCTAAGTTTAAACACATAGTAAGTGAAGTAATTAGTTTGCTCTGCTTAGAACAGGCAGATCTCTTATCACTGGATGATTTATACACTGTGCGGTGGGTCTTGAAGTAGAATGAGGTGGGAACATAGAAGTTTAAGGAATGGCCTGAAAGGAGGGCGTGTGAGGAGGAACAGAAAAGGGACAGGAAAGCAGAGAGCTTTTGCCACTACAGCAAAGGGGCTGGAGGCGCTAAGAAGAGCTTTGTAGGAAAGAGTATAGGGGTTAATGTGAAAAACAAAAGATAGGTCGAGTCAGAATGTTGTAGCTTAATATAATAGTAGATGACAGAAACTGGATGTATGGAGCTCAATAGGAAGATTCGTCTAGGGGAAGGGATTCAAGCTGTGCTATTTAAATAGCTTTTCTGAACATGTTATAGCCCAAAGATTGGGAAATGAGTATAACACATGGAAAGTATTTTCAGATCTTCTGTTGAATAAGAAGTTAAAGGATTTCAAAGCCAAAACTTCTGATTTTGTAGGAAAAAATTCTCACTAAATTCTTCTAATTCTCACTAAATTCTTCTAATTCTCACTGAACACCTCTCTCTCTCTCTCTCTCTCTCTCCCCCCCCCCCTCTCTTTCCACCACTTGTACCATCTAAGCCTCGACAATGACATCCTGAAAATAATCTCTCTCTAAGACCTCATTAGGGGAAAAAATACCAGCCTTTTAAAATTACACTGCCTGTCTTTGTAAAGGAGGTCTCACTATAGCTAGATTTCTTTGGGTTAATTCAGACTGTATTCCACCTTCTCATCTTATAAATGAGTTAAAACTCACTTCCATGGTTTTTAATTCCAACTGAATATTTGTACCTTTTCTTTAAATACCAAATGATTAATTGCCAATAACTGTGATCATTGAAATATGTTTCAATGTTTTAAAATCCCATTTTTAAAAACAAATTAAGCTTGCCCTTAAAACTTGGTTGCACTAATGAGTTCAGTTAATGTAGTGAGGCGAGTCACCAGCTCATAAACCCTGCAATATTCCAGACTATAATCCATGCCTGATAAATACACTGCTGCCTATACTTCCCCCTGACAAATACTGCCAAGATGCTTGAAAAACTGATTTACTTCCTTGGCCACTTTTAAAATTAAAACAAACAGGAAAACACTCAAGCAGATAGGCAGGAGCTTTTATTGCTTTTCTCAAAATGATAGTTGCTAGATACCTTAATGATTAGGAGCAACTTTTAAAAATATAGATGTATACATTTGACACAGAAAGTTATAGATGATGTACTGTAATAAATACATGTCACATAACCCTAAATTTGTACCAAATACTAGCTATAGTGTTCTCTAGGGTGGTGTTATTTTATAACAATCTTAAATATTTTTTTCTCAGTTTTCTACAATAAGCAAATTCTAAATGGGGGGGGGGTGCTCTGAGAAGAAAAAGGCAGTATATGCAAATCCCCCAGGAATGTTAGGCTCCTTCTGGAAGGCACCACTGTATCTGACACCCTTCACATCATGAGGGAGGGGGCTGGTTCCTGCAGAAGCCATTGTGTTAGTATGTGCTCAGATTCAGGTTTATGCACAGGTTCTGCCAACCATCTTTGGAAGATTGTTGATTAGGGATTTCCTCCTCTTCAATATTCCTACATAACTGGGGCCTCTCTGCATCTGCTTTGTGTAGCTTTTTTTTCTCTAGCTCTGACATCCCTGAATTTTGGCTTTTGGTTTGTTTGGATAGGAATTTTAGTTCCTGGCAAACTTGGTTTTTCTACTCCACTGTCCCTGTAGATACCATCTTTTTGTTCATCTGTACTGGAATGGTTTCTTACATTCTAATTTCAAAATAATTCCCAGTTTCTTGCTGTATTTTCAAAAGACATTTTTTCCAAGACCATACACTTGTCTGCTGAAATTACTGAACAGCCACTGCAGATGTTTCTTCTTGTCTTTCTCCAGGAACTGGTACCTTGTCTATGTCCTGAATTCATTAGCCGACTTTTGTGCTAAAGCTGTGGTTCCTTATATGCACAGAGTGGTGTCTCCTGGCTCTCCTCCTGTACCAGCTGGCAGCCTCCTTGTGGGAGGCTCTGGGAGCCATGGGTTCCCATGGTGGCCACAGGATACACAGAAACATCTGTTTCTGCTGAAAGCATGGTCCCAGTGGCTCCTACTGTCCTCATCCTGAAGTCCCTCATCATTTCAGTGAAGAAAGTGAGATTTTGCAACTGCAGCCACTTGTCCTGAGATACAAAATTCTCCAGCACCCAAGGCAGGAAAAATAGTTGAGAGCTTTTTTCCTGTGCCTCATCAGAAGACACAGTTGGCAAAGACCGAGCCTATCCTCACAGGTCATACCACTGGAGAAATAGTCCTTCTGGAGACCCTAACCCACACCTGAGGCCTTTATGGTCTCTGGTCTAAAATCCATTCGGTAACTGTAATTCTCAAACAAAAGAAATTTCTCATAGATTTGACTTCCTGGCCTTGGAAATCTGTGTGACATCAGCCAAATCATTTAACTTGTTGTCTGTTTCTCATCTTTTCTTCCTTCAGACCCAATGTGTCTCCTATGGTATTATATTATATATTATATTATATTATGTTATTATATTATGTTATATTATATTATAGCGCAGCACAGAATGCTTTTATCCTCTCTTTGTAAACAGTGCAGGACAGCATTTCCCTCATGGTGTTCATATGAGATACACACAATTATGAATATAGTACTTCTCCAGATGGCTTGCTGTATTCTAACTTCCTTCTCTTTTCTAAAATGGGAGAGTTGCTTTGTGGACTGCCTAACACCAATGTAGTAATACCTAATATTTCAATAGAGCTTTATGGCTTACAAAGCCAATTACATGAGGTAATGAATGCTATGTATGCCTACTCATCATGCCCTCACTCTCTTTTACAGCTCTTTACAGTGGATGCCAGAACCTTCTCAAGTAATTTTTCCTCCATGCAACTCTGGGATTTTCCTATTCAACAACAGTATGGTAGGGCCCCATCATCCTCTTTTGAGATTTCTTGGCCCAGTTTTAATAAAAATTCATTATCACGTACTTTGAAAATGCAAGTGATCACTAAATTTTAATTCAGCCCACAGGAAAATCTCATTAACTTGATATCGGCTAATTCAATTTAATGTCTTCTTCAAAGAAATTTCTCTTCAACTAGAAGATTAGACGGTTTGCATGTAAAATAAGCATAGTTAATGCACAATATAAAAATATTATAAAATTTGAACTGAAAATTTGGTCAAAGACTTTAAGAATTGGCTTCTTTTGAAACAAACTTTAAAGATAATCTATCATATGGGAATTTCAAAAAGTATGGGGAAATGGTGTTAAGGTTGGAAAAAATATATATATATATTTATATAAAACAGCTCTTTGACCACCATCTGTTAACAAGTACATGGTAAAGCACCTTTTTTTAAATTTAAGAAATAACGTTTCCCTAAATTTCAGATTAATGAATTCTTATGGTAATTATCTTAAAATAATGTCACTAATAGCTATTTTAAATAAAAACAGATAACTAAGTTAAATCTATTTCCACAAATACTACAGGTTTTTAGAGATTTTCAATAACTTACTCATTATTAGTGCCATTTAAAAAACAATGTCAATATATTGGGTATAGGACAAATTATTTTATGATGAAGTATAATGAATTGGCCTAATTATTTCATGCTATATGGATTTTAAAAATATAGAACATCACATTAAATAAGTACATGAGGCTTAGAAACTGGTTTGTAATAAAGGTATTTTTTTTTCTCTTTATAATTTGGACATAATCTGAGTATTGAAAATTAGTGCATAGCTTGGTCTTCAACCTCAGACAATCTATAATGACCACTTACCAAGCTTCTAGTTCTGTCAACATTACTGAGCTTTCCAGATACTGCACTGTAAGTGTTTCCAATAGGCTTTTCAGTGGGGAGAGGAGGTGGGCTTTGTGGATCCTCATGTAAACCTGGAAAAATAGCAGTGATTCATCAACAATTTTTGGTCTTTGGGGATTCCAAAGGATGAAATGACTGCAGCTTGGTTCCTTACAAAAATGGCTATCACAAAGAATAGATAGCTAAACAAATGAGAAAAAACTCCCAGAGAACTTCAGAAAATTGATAGGTTAGTAGACATCAGTTAATTTTACCGAATGTTTTATAGAGAATAAAAATAATACTGAACAATTACAACAGCCAACATTTTTGAGATGCTGTTATGTGCCAGGCCATTAAATTAAGGCACTTTATTCATACACATTTCTCCAACCAACATCTAGCTACATGCTAGGTCTACATAGTCCACTAGCTAGTAGTCACACATGGTGATTTAAACTTAAATCTTAATTGTTTAAAATTAAAATTTCAGTTCCTCAGTTGCACTAGTCACATTCCAAAGCCACATGTTGCTAGTAGCTACCATATTGTAAAGTACAAACATAGAATATTTCCATCTTTGAAGGAAGTCCTATTGGGCAGTACCACACTAAATATCCTACCCATTTTACAGATGAAGAAACTGAAACTGAGAAGAAAATATACCAGCTATCCAAGGTCTTAATGCTAGTAATCGTCAGAACCAGGGTTTTGAACCCAAGAGCCTGTGCTCATTGTAATAAGGCATGCTGTTTCTTGATAGCTGGTGTATCCAACCCCCCCATCCATGTAATTAAATGTGTTTTCTGATTCATTAGTTCCAGATTAATGGACATCATGGCCCCTCAATTTAACAAACAATATTTTTACATGCAAAGTACATCCTTAACTCATTGATAGTGTACCCCCAACCCCAACTTAGGTTAAAAAGAAGAAAACAAAGATGGCCAGCTTTCATTACTGACAGCTAATTAAAATCTGTGCAAAAACACTTAAAGGAGGCTAAACCTATCTTTTATACATTGACTTAGGCATTTAAAGGAGATGGGAATTTTTCTCATTCTTTCCAAAGAACACTCTCTGTGTCCATTTCACATAAAAAACCTGAAACAAGAGGGTGGCTTGTCAGGTTCTTGTTTTATCCATGGACAACAAACACTCTCTAAAGCAGGAAAATACCCAGGCCAGCTACCAGAAAAACAAATATTTAGGGAGAGGCAAGTGTTCTTAGTGACAGGCAGCTTGGCTCTGGGAATTAAGACACACACAGGAACATTCCAGCTCAGTTGTCATCCGAAGACTTTCTCTGTGCTGCAGCTTCCTTCTTCTTAACAAGGAAATACTGAATCATTTAGGATATAATGTTGTCGTGACAAACAACTAAGGGTACAAAGTAGTACCAGTATGAAAGTAGAGAGGAGACAGCTGACTGGACATAGGGATTATCCTGGGTGGTGGGGGTGAGGGGGCGAGGTAGAGCTTTCCAAGTGCACATAACACGGTCTGCAGAGGTCTCAATGAAAAAAGCGGCATTCGAGCAAAACCTTGAAAGAATGGTGAAGGAGGGAGCCGCACTGGGATATCTTGGAAAAGAACATTCTAGCCAGAAAAAACAGGTCCCCAGGGGAAGGGGCTGACAGGTTCAAAGAAGAGCAAGGCGTTTTGCACACTAAGCTTTTCTGTTCTTCCCTCATCCATTCCAAGTTCTTCAGACACCAAAGGTCTTCCTTGTTTTTCCTCCACAGCGTATATGTATTGCTTCATAACTGTAATAATCATATTCTGGGCAACTGGCTTTTGATACAAATAGAAGCAACTCTCTAGAAACTGTCACTTCTGCTATCTCACACATACCAGTATAGGATTCAACTTCCTTAATAGTTGGAGCTTTGTCAAGATAATAAATAAAGATGCTTCTTCAATATACCCTTTTCAGGATTTCAGAACTATTGATCCAATTTATAAGGGTGCAGAAAAGAGTAAACATAGCTATGGTTAGGTCATACTGATGGCAATAATATACTTCCCGAATATATTGGAATAGCATACTCTGTATGATGGACATATGCAACTCTATTTGCTATCAGTTTCAATCACTTTCCTACCATATCTTTACCAGAGGTACTAAGAAAGGATATTACAACTACTCTGAGTTTCAGTCTCCCTCTATTCTCTCTACCTAAAGACAGTGTTAAAGAGAAATGAAATCCAAATTCACGGTACCAATTGTCGACAGAATTGTAAAAACGACTTGCTTTTAAATGTCCTTGATTATGAATAACAATAAATGGCCAATGACACATCACTTCAAAAGTGGACACTGACACATTAGCATATATTTCTCCCAGACTCGTGGAGAAGCACATAAATAAAGGCAGAGGAGTGCTTACATGTTCCTGGTTTGGCTGGAATGCGAATCACAGTGGGCTTCCTGGTGAGTGCTGGTTGAACGGCTCCTTCTTTTGTTGGTTCTGTTTTTGTGGGGAGCTGAAAGGGATCTAATGAAAAACACAGTTTATTTTGCATGTTTTAGTTAACATGGACTCAAACAAAAAACCTCATTCATAATTAAAAAGTCACATTTTTCATGCCCCTGGGAAATCTATTCAAGGGTAAACAAAATCTCAGTTTGCAGAGACAAAAACAAAGTCTGAGCTCATGAAAGGAAATAACTTGATGCTCTGTAAATAATTCATATGGCTTTTCTCCCCCTATTATGAGAGAGATCCAGGCCAATCTTGAATTATGTAGAAGCTACTATCTTTCATGGGAGAGCAATCATTTCACAAACGTCTGCCTGACAATGAGGGGCCACTGAAACGAGGAGCCATTTTCCCCCGTCCTGAGAAGCCTTCCAGATCCCCCAGGAAGGAAGGCCTCTCCTACACTCCTATGCCCACAGGAAAACTTATCCATGGGGCTACCAAGGGCCATCATCCTACCCAGCACCACGCTTGGCACAGGGCGGGTGGCTCAGCAGTCTTGGGTTTAGTAGTTTAGTAAAACTACACTTCAGTAACGTGAAAATGAAAAACGTTATATCCTGGAAATAATATGACAACTCCCTTCAAATATTTAAACTTGGGGCAAGGATCCATGGAGTTGGCATTTCTCCATCTTAACTGAGTCATTTTAAAATGGGCAGCATATGCTTAGAAAAAGTATTTTAAACAAAAGCATAACCATCAAATTATTTTTTACTTTTTTTTTTTCTTTAATGTCAATGTTCTTTTCACTAGTTTAGGAAAATGCCCATATATATTTTTTTAAAGATGAGAAATCTAAAAATAAATAGACTAGCTAAAGTAAACTGAACTGCTGTACAATGGATACTCCATAGAGCACACAGGGTCTCATGAGGCTGGCTTTGCCTTTATTCACTAAGAGGCAGAGCGGGTCCATGCTGTGATTCTGCACCTGCTCTGTGGAGCTGGCCTGAGGGAGACACTCCCTGTAAAACAATGCTTCCGTGATGAACAGCATTCATGTTCTGCCTGTTATGAGCTGCAATTCAATAAGGATCACCTTTTGCTGACCAGCTCTTTGCAGGAGACGTGAAGAGCTGAGCTAAGCACAGGAAGGCCTTTCGGCTCACTGACACTTCCCCTTCCATCCTACCCAGCTCTCAGGCAACCACACCATCATACACCTACAAAAGGCGTCACTCACTCACTGGCCACTTGCTCGCATGTGTGTGTACCATGTGCCAGTAACAGCGCTGGTGGGGAGATATGACAGTCATGCACAGTCCTATTTGAAGTTTACTATCTGCCACCTAGGAAGGGCCCCCAGATGGCATGCTAGGTAAAATAATTATTATTAGGCTACTGAGAAAAAAAATTAATGATCCCTCTATGAAACCTATCAGTTCACAAGTGAGGCGAGTCTTATCTAAATTCAAAAACCCAACTCTAGATTATTATACAATATCAAACTTCAAAAAAGGCTCTTGTAATACTATAACTTTCTTTCACTGTAATTTATGTCCCTGAAAACAAACGAAGTTCCTTCTTTTAGGTCTAAACAAATCCTCTAATTCCTTGTTTTGTTATAACATTATTTTTTTACTTCCAAAGTAATGTTGACTGTAAAAATGGAAACAGTAAGAACTATATGACAGGGCCGGCTGAGTGGCTCGTTGATTAAGAGTTGGCTTGGGAGCGTGAGCTCTGAGCAGCACGGCCACCGGTTCAGATCCCACATGGGCCAGTGATGCTGCGCCCTCTACAGCTAAGATGGTGAACAACAGCTCGACATGGAGCTGGGCTGCTGTGAGTCGCCAGTGATGGCGTAGGCTGCAGTGGGCTGCCGTGAGTGGCCGGCAGCCAGTGTGAGCTGCCATAAGGCACCGTGGGCTGCTCTCCAATGGCCGGCGACCGATCTGCCTCAGCTGGGAAGAGCACAATGATCATAATACCAACATGGGCCAGTGAAGCAACATCCTCCACAACTAGACTGAAGAACAAAAGGAGAAGCAACTTGTCTGTTCCCCTTTCCAGTTTCCTCAATGCTGTTCCCTCCCACAATTCCCCAATAAAATCTTTAAAAAACTTAAGAACTATATGACAGAAAACTCCATAATCCCATCCCTTCAATAATAACAATTATCTAAATGTGGTATATCTATCGATAATATTTTCTATAATACATGTATTATTATGTAGATATTTTGCAAAACAAAAACAGGATCATTTTATATCCATTTTTTTGTTAATTTGTTTTTTCACTTTGTTCATTCAGTATTGGCTGGGTTCCTGCTACACATCAAGCACTATTCTAGATGCTGGGGGTACTTCAGTAAAGGAGGCAAAGAACTCTGCCCACATGGCACTTACATTCCAGCAGCAGGGTGGAGACAATAAACAACAAATACGCAATTCACATGGTATAGTAGAAGGTGAGGTGCATTATGAAAAAGACAAAAGTAGAGAAAGGTAAGGAGTTTCAGGAGTGGGCAGAAGGATGTAAGTTGCAGCATGAAACGGGTGCAGGGGGAGAGGGGGCCACGGCCGTCTTTTCAACAACTGGATTTTACATATTCTAATAGTTCTTCCACCTTGAATAATATACATCTGATTTTTAGGAAAGAGCAGTGCCAATGGATAAAAAGGGGTAGATACACTTGTACTAAAGCCCATTATTGCAAATATTATGCAAATCTGAACTCCCAGAATGGTTCATCTATTCTGAACAGTGCTAGCTAAAATGAAACAATTTGAAGACCCCTTATAATCCTGGCATACGTTTTATTCAAACCTAGAAATGCAGTATCTTTGCTCAGTGTATATCATTCCTTTCTGTTCTCTCTCTCCCCCTGCCATCGCCTCTGTTCTGCCTCCTTGGCCTTTGCTGGAACCCAGTGACCTACAAAGAGCCACCTTCCTTCCCAGCTGCTGCAGAGACTTGGCCATTCAGGGACTGTCTGTCCTCCCTGCCCTGAATCTTGGTTGTAACATCCCATTCTCTCAGAACTCTGTTACCTGCTGGAAAAAGGACCAGAACTTCAAGAAAAGGATGTAGGCTCATAATTGTTCATTGTGGTCTACCTTTCAAGTGGCATTTCTACTTCAAAGGCTGCTTTTGGTACCTATATTCTGTTGGTAATCAGTATAGGTTTTTAGTTGATGATTTTTTGGGGCTGTGGGTGTGGGAGAAGAAAATCTTGAGCACAAAATGACTTCAATTGTTTGCCAATTCATACCAAATTGCGGGCCAGTATACCACCTACACTCTTTCTCTCATATTCCAGGAGTGAGGGCCCAAACAAGGAAGGAGGGAAAGAGGCCAGTCGGTGCCCTTGAGGGGCTGGGCACAAGGACATCCCAACGTGCTTGCTGTTGGAGGGTCGGCCTCAGGGAACCCTGCCCCAGTCCTGCAGCACAGCTCATCTCTTACATTAAAGGGTCCAGTCATTTTATTTTAAAACCTGAAGGATCTAAATTCAAGTAGCACAGATACAACTTAAATACAAAGTATTACACAAGTGTCCTAGCTACCCATTTTTTCTCTCTCTGTTTTGGTTTGTATTTTAATATCACGTTAGCTGCTCTTTAATACCTGGCACTTAGATCATGTGTAATTATTCTACTATATGTGTCCAGAAAAAAAAATTCTTTCTCAATACAGTGAAGCAAGGAAGCCTTAGTGTTCCGGCACTGCGGGCTATTTGGCAGGAGTGAGTCTGTTTAAACGACCTCCCCCAGCACCTGCCTCGCTGTCTGTGTGCTGTCCTGGGCTGTGATCCAGGTGAGGCGCGCAGACTAGCAGGGAGGACAAGCAGCATCACTTCAGGGAGAAGGTGGAGCCCGAGGCCAGTTTTTCGTCTTGATGATGGTGCATGAGTCTCTCCCTAGCTACACAACATGAACTCTACTTTTCATGTCTTTTCATGAGAGGGGTATTTTTTCCAATAGAAATGTGAGTGGGCGGCATAAAAAGCAAGGATGGCACTCAGCTTTGGGAACTCCAGGCACCGCTAGGTGGGAAACTAGATCACTGGAACTACTGGAATGCTTAAACTTCACAACCTTTGCCCCAGTAGCCCCACTTTTGGAAATGTATTCTTCAGAAACAAAAGCACTAGAAGTGAAAATCTTTAGAAGAGTGTTTACTGCAGCATTTTTATAATGGCAAAAAAAAATCCAAAAAATTAAAAACACACGGAACAACCTGAACGTCCATCAGCAGGGGAAACGCTGACTCAGCGATCATGTACTCAGGCAGGTATAACAAAACAAAGACTAGACTTCGATCTACTGGCCTGAAGAGAAGTCCATAAATCTTACTGTTAAATGAAAAGGCGAGCTGCTGAGTAACAGGTATAGCATGATAAAAAATTTCTGTAAAAAGCAGAAAAAAAATACAAGTATATGTATATGTTTGTAAGCTTTGGTTTGGAATGTCCACACGCTCAGAAGGCTACTTACAGCACTGTCCACGCTGTTTACTCTGGGATTTGGATGGACTAGAGGGAGATTATATTACTTTTTTTTATTTTACTAAATGTTTATACTGTTCGACTTGTTACAGCAAATATGTTATTTAGTAACTAAAAAAAAAAATCTAACAAATTCAACGACAAGAAAAAGTTATAAGATAACGTTGAAATAACACCACTGCCAAACAAACCAAAACAAAAACGACTTAAAAACGGGGAGAAAGTGAAAACTCTTGTCCCTTTTATTGCTTTCTGAAGGCAATGGTGGCCATAAAATTTTCCATAAAGTACTTAGAAAAATAAAAACTCTTTTTGATACTATTCCACAATGATTCCATTTAATAGGAAATAATGCAGATATATATTTTTTAATTCGCCCATTCAAACATATCTAGTTCATAATAATTAGCTTTTATTTGTAAACTTGAATAATATAACTTTAGAAAAATCATATTTTTAAAAAATTTCTGCTCATCGTAATGCTGAGGATCAGGGCGGGATGCAGTTCTCTCTGTCTGAGACAAAATGGACAAAGAGGTAATTCTCAGTTTCTTTCATCTTAATTCTGCTATGTTCAGCTATTTGAAAAAACAGGTTCCCCCATCGTCTCCTGCCTCCTCAGTTCCCTCATAAAAGACAACCTGTTACCAACTCTTTATATATCTTTCCAAAGACATCTGTGTGTGTGTGTTTTAACACCAACAGTAGCTAAAATACCATGAATGCTATCTAGCTCTGAATACTAGCTTGCATTTTTCACCTACTAATATCTTGGAGGTTGGTCCACAGCAGGGGATAAAAGGTGGTCTACTTCCTTTCTAATTACTGCCCAATAGTCCATTGTATGGCTGTACCATAATCTAGTTCAGCAGTCCACTGAATGTTATCTCCATCATTCTGTAGTAGAAGTCCTTAATCTGGGGTCCAGGAACAGGATCTGGAAACCACTTCCAATGGTGCATACATGAGCTCAAGGGATCTTTTCAAGGGAGAGGCAAGGTTCCCAGGCTAATCAGATTCTCGGTTCTGTCACCCAGAAAGGGTTAAGCACTGCAGTGCCATAAGTCTCTCTATCACAGACTGTTTGCTCTTGCTGCATAGAAAAAACCCAAAGCACCTCCAAAGGAATCTCCTATCTAAATGTAAGGAAAGTCAATGGAATTTTCTCTCCTTTTATTTGCAGTGTTTACTCTGCCCTCCTTCTAGCCCCTCACACACACAACCAATTATTCTCCACCTGCTGCCAAACAAGCAGGCCCCTTTACACCTATATCCACATGCTTTTCATTAGTGGGTTGAGAAAAACATTGATGATAATGTGGTTTTCTGCCCAGTACCTGTCTCTAATAATATGCTTGTCATCATAATTAGTTGCACCATCCTTGGCTTGCCTTTCTGTCATTTCTTTCCCTTGAGCTCTGTTAATAGCAGAAATTGGCTGTGAGACTATTATTCTGGTCTGTGTAATGGGGCTGACAGCGGAGGCATTCTGTTTTGTTTTTTTTTTTGACAACTGGGTATGTTTGTAAAGGTGTGAAGAGGTATTGCTAATACCTCTCAGCTCCATTACATTTACCTGGAAGGCATTTTACCCATGAAATCAATCCAATATTATATTGCCTGTTTTATGAGTTTTCCTTTAATAATTTTTCTAATCTTTACAATGTTTTCATAGCTCCAGTATTTTCTGATCTCTATTTCCTGAGATTAATACAGCAACTTCATTTAATGAAAACTATTTTATTAGATGTTGTTTATTTTTGATGGAAGAGACAGAGAAGGAAAGATGTATTTGTGAGTTTGTCTCCTTTCTCCTGTGGTCCTCTCCCCGTTTCTGTGAGATGCCAGGATGATTAAGTAAGGAGAGACCATAATCCTTTATTTACAAAGACAATCAATGCTACTGATAGCCCATCAAAAAGGCACAAAGCCCAAATCAATAAAGAAACAAAAACCCCTGCATGTTGAGGAATTCAGAGGTGACCCCGAGGGCCTCTGGAGGACAGTAAGCAGGGAAGCAACAGGGTCCAATGCACACTCCAGCAAAATCGCTTGGGTAGCCTCCGTATGGACAACGGTGGGTTTGAGGAAAAAGCAGGGGCTCAATTCAGGAGGCCTCTGCAGTCCTCTGGGCCTAAAGGCCTGAAGGGAGGCAGTGGCAGCAGGGATGGAGCTGAGAGGAAGATTCAAGAACTATTCAGAAGGTAAAACCAGCAGGAGTTGGGAACTAATTGAATGTGAAGCACAAGAAGTCATTAAGCATGACTTAATGAGCACATACCATGTTTCAGACAACATGACAGGGCTTTCCTGCATAATCACATGTAATCCTTGCAATACTTCCATGAGGAGTATGATTATCGTGTTTTATAGATGAGGAAACTGAGGCACTCACGGAGGTAAGTAAATGGCTCAAGCACATACCAATTAAGTGGGAGACCTCAGCCAGCCTGACTCCAAGTCCAAACAACGAGCCACTGTAGCACAGTGGGGGAAGACTCAAGAGTGATCTCTCGAATTCTTCTCCAGGGAAAGTGGGGTGGTGTGATGGTGTCGCTATGTGAGGTGCAGAATACAGGAAGAGATGCAGGTTTAGAAAGAAGATAAAGGGTTCCGTGCAGTCTCACTCCACAGTCGAGAGCAATGGTTAAAGTCAGGTAGGGCAAGCAAACTACACGTTTTGCTAGCAGACTCCTCAATAATTACACGTTACGCAATGAAGCGGTAGAAACCAAGAAACAGAAAAAGCTGAGGATGAAGCATGAGGCTGTATTTATGTTGAATGTATACTGTTGACCTTCTTGTTTTGAAGATGACTGTAATTATCTGCTTAATGACACAGAATAAATTCTCCGCAGCTATTAACCAAGCTGCCACCCCCATAGAATCTATGAGTTATACAAACAGGTGATATTTCTCTGGCCTGTGCTGCTTCCACTCTTAACAGCTTGCTGTTGTTGGATTTACCCATCCCTGTCCTATCCTGAGCCTTATAACACCAAAAAGGTTTAAATAAGAACATGATATGACAAAGACTTGAAAAGTTTTTAATGTGTTGCCGGGTTTAAGGATTCATGAAAATGTTGGGTAGCAACATGATATTGTGAAAAATAAACTAGACTTAGAATAAAAAGATTGACTTTGAATGCTGCCTTGAAAAATTGTAGTTTTATGACACTGGGCAAGTTACCCGTTTGATACCTCTCAGCCTTATTTTCTTCATCTGCAAATTGAGGCTAATGATACCTTGAAAAGGGTTACTGTGAGTATTAGATTAAATAATGTATGTCAGGGTATCTAGCAGACGGTTTGGAACACTGCAGAAACTCAATATATTCTAACATTTTTCCTTCCTCTCCTTATGGACAAGAGGCATGCTATAGCCAGTTACCATGCTGTATGCATGATAAATATTTAATAACTATGTGTTTGTTATCACTTAAAATACACCTGTGCTGTGCAGAATCTGGTTTTGAATCACAGAGCTTATACCATTTTGATACATGTTAAACATTTATAAGATGACAACAAACCTTTTAGAAACACTATCAAGCTTATATGTTCACAAATTCTACCCAAAGAAGTAAAAAGCAGTAAAAGGAATCTTATTAATGATAAGTACAGCAACTTAGTTTGACAAATCAAAGGTAAGCTTTACCATCACACCCTCCATCTGAATAGTGTATGGAAAAAAAATATATGCCCTGCCTCTTGGGAAATTTAATTTCCCCTGATGTTGGCAGGAAACTTACAACTGTTATATTTTATTTACAAAACTGCATTCCCAAGGGAAGAGGTTCTGTGAAGGGTATATAAGGGGAAAAAATTTGCAACATATGGCTGGGTCCTCACTCCTTGCACTGCTCTTGCCAGAGGCCTCCCCAGGGATGGCCCCTGTCCTGGCACTCCCAGTGGGGCTGCTTCAATCCAGGGAGCCCCTCTGGGGTCCCTGCATGCCTTCCCACCTGTAAGAAGCTCCCTGCACCTTTGAATGCTTGAATCTCCACCTGCTAGAGGAAGGGAACCAGCCTCACGTCTAGCTCAGTCCCTCGTCCCAGTCTGCTCATTCCCGGCTCGTACAGTAGTCATCACTGTGTGTGTCTCCCTCTTTCTGTTTCCATCTCTCCTCCCGTCTCTGTTTCCATCTCCCGGCCAGCTCCGTGTTCCTTAATTTGTTTCTCCCCATCTGTACACACACATACATGTGCACACACATGCACATATACACCTCCATAACTTATGTACTACAAACTAAAACAAAGTGCCACTGAAGATACCCTACAATGAGTTTAGATGCCCCGCCCCCCCCCGCCCGCCCCCTTGTTCTGATTTTTACTCACCCAGAACAATCTCAGAACCAACAGAGTCTTCAACCGGGTTCCCAGATGGGGTGGGTAAAACATCATCATCAAAACTGATGAGGTCAATGTCCCCCAGAGGCTTGCTTTGCAGACCTGGAGCCGGGGGGTTGGCTGAGGGTCCTTCGCCCAGTGACCTGAATGCTTTGGCATGTGACGCCGCCGAGAGTCGGGGAGGAACAGTGGCTGGTTTTAGCAAAGCTGCAGGCCCGGCGGGGTTTTCTGAGGAGACTGATCTCCTCGGCAGCAAAGGCCGAGGAGCAGGGGTTGGGACTTTCTTCGCGCCATCGGGGCTCTCAGCCACGGGCCCGCCTCCCGGGATCTCTGGATTAACGTTTCGTATAAGGCCAGGATTTGGTTTCTTTGGCAATTCAGGTTTGGGTACTGGGATGCTCCCTGCGTCTTTCCGTGGAAAGTGTGGGGTGAGCCCTTCCCGAGAGGCCACCTTGAGTCTGTTCTCATTCCAGGAGTCCAAGTCTCCAGAAGCTCTGTTAGCAGCTGGTTTGGGAGCCACTGAGGGTTTCCCTGAGGACACAGCAGGCCTTGGGGGTAGCGTGCGCGGAGCAATCTCTGGTTTCTTGGGCAGTCCTGAGGTTCCTGGATTTGTCTGACTATCAAATGCTTTGATCCTTGAAATAACACTATTTTGGCTTTGCTCTGTGTTCATCATGTTCATTGCTGCCTGACTATACAAGTCGCCGGTACTGTCCAACAGGGAGAGGGGCCTGCTTGGGGTTGGCTCCTCCTCCGTGGCCGCTGGGCCGATTCTCTGGTGATTCTGCTCTTTAATGTGGGTATCTCTGGCTATTGGCCTGAGGTTGCTTTTTGATCTTGGTTTTGGCACTGGACATCTTGTAGCACTGGAGTTTTCTGGACAATTCTGTTCTTCAGAAATGTCAAAGACTATTAAAGGCGCCACATTTGTTGCAGGATCCTTGGCTGAGGCCGCTGGCGAAGGCTGAAGAGGTTTGAGAGGTGCCTGTAGGGCTAATGAGACCAAAACAAACAAAAAGAAGTGGCAACATTATAACTTAAAAGGAAAAATAATAGAAGACACACAGATTTTTAAAAATATATATGTCGAATAGCAAGAGATTTTGGTTTCCTTAATTCATTAGTAAAAAGTAATTCCAAAATCAATGGGGAAATGTTTATACTCAATTTCCTGTAGGAGTTTTCAAGTTATAACTATTCATACAACAAACATTCACTATATAATATTTTAAAACACGATTCAATTTCTCATTCTCAATATTCTTATCACATGAACCATTTCTCTCATTGTCAAAAGTCCAACAAGTCTTGCTTTACTTTTCCAAAGTAACTTACTCTCATCTGTTATCCTAATACAAACCTTTTTTTTTTTTTCCTTAACCAACTGAGCCACTTGGCTAGCCCCAATACAATACTTTTTAACAGCCTAATAGGACAATCACCTTTAGCATCCTATCAAGTTGAAGTTGCTAAATATAACATCCTTCTCAATGGTAATAATGGGCATCAACAGTATACCAGCCACGAGTTAAAAGGATGATATTTTTGTGATATGAACTAGGGTGAACCTAAGAGACTGGGGCTGTGGCTTGTCATAATGAGCTCTTATAATAATCACAGCAAATCCAAATTAAGAAAGCACACACAGTCATGCTGACTGGAAGGCAGAGCTCAATGAATTATGTACAAATTGCAAATTATTTTAAAGGCTAGAGACTACTGATTACTTCCCTAGAACTAGGTCAGACTTAGGAGAGACAAATGACTCGCATTACTTTGAGGCAGATGGTTGTCTATTTCTTCTGAAAAGTCGGTCTGAGTTGCAGAAGTAATGGTGTGTCTTGGACTGGCAGCAGCATTATTATTATTTGTAGTATTAATTTGAACTTGGTTGATTTCTTTTATGACTTGTTCATAAGACGGTGGGAGCTGCAAAATAGAGAATGATTTTAGACATCTATGGGCAATAGCCAACATGTTAATAGTCTCACTGTTCTTATCTTTGAACTTCATTTTAAAAATAAAATGCAAAGAGATAACGTGGTATTTATTCACCTCAGCAGGAACCAGCTCACTGGGCCTCCAAGAGCCTGCTGCAGAGGGCGGGGGAAATCCCAGGCCTGAGGGTGGGGCTCCTGGAAACCACGAGGCCCTCCTCAGCGGCTCAGCTGCCACAATGGTGATCTCGGGGCGCCTGGCAGACAGAAACCTCAGTGAGGATTTGGGGGTTGGTAACAAGCTATTGTCTATTTACAAATGTTTAAAGATTCATGAAAACAACTACCACCCAACAAAATTACATAAGAACAGCCATAATCACAAAATGACCTGTCTAACCTGGCTGTCTCCAATAGTACAGCCAGGCAGTCTTCGAGCGATCAAATGACAGTCATTGTCCACGATTTTAGCCTCAAAAAGTTAAGAGATGTACCCTAAGCACACTTGGCTCTGCCTTGGTTGATAAGAATAAGGACTAAGTAAGGCCCATACAATCTCTTCATCCCAGGGCTCTGCTATGTAGCCTATACCACAAACATAAATACAGAGGGTGCCAAAAAACGTATACGCATTTTAAGAAAGGAAAAAGCGGTATTAAAATTTTAATACTCAATATATACCGATAACAAAAATGAATACAAGTTGTGTATACATTTTTTTTGGCACCCCCAGTATATTGTAAGCTAAAAAAGTGCACTGGTCAATTAGAGTTGTTTAGCTTTCTGTTATTATAAAGTATATATTCTGAAATAATACTATATAAATAGAATATCTTCTTTCTCCTCACTCTACCTCTGTCCTGATTCAAAGTGATCGTGAAGTGTTGAGTTAACAAGTTCACTTCTAGACCCTGATGTGTGTGTATTCCTGGTCAGATTTGTATACAAATTTGACAGATTAATCTTTAATACTGAGGAGGCATAATGATTTAGGCATGGCTTCTTTAATCATTTTCAGAAACTGATTCTATAGTTCAATGTATAAATCTTACCTTCAACCTGATTTCCTAACAAACACCAACTGTGTGACTCTCAGCAAATCAATCAACCTCTCTGAGCCTCAATTTTCTCATCTAACAAATAGGGATGATGATACCCTCTTTCTTTCCCTAGCACTCTATGGAAAACAAAAGGAAAAACAAAAAGCACTGCCATTATCAAAATTGTGCATAAATACACACTCTCATGCTAGCTTGTGAAACAGTAAAACCTATTCACTGATTAATTTGAATGGCATTACCTAAGAACCTTGATTATTGTTTTTCTCTAAATAATAAGAGATACTAGTTAATAAATGTTAACCACTCTACATGCATCGATCCTCATGAAGTAGGTATCGTTAGCACCATTTTATTCATTTATTTATTTATTTTTTTAGCTGAGCCATCCTGCCACCTGTTGGCAGTTCAGCAGCAGCTCAGCTCGGGCTGGGATTTGAACCGCTGTTGCTCAAAGTTCACACTCTTGAGCAAGTTCTTAACCAACTGAGCCACTTGGCCGGCCCCAGTTAGCACCATTTTAAAGATGGGAATATTGAAGCTAAGAAAGGTTAAGTAGCGTGCCCAAGGTCACATGGTAAGAAAGTAAAGTCAGGATTTGAACTTGGTAATGTCGGACTTTAAAGCCCTTGTTCTTTAGTCGCCTATGTTATACTGTAAGAAATTTGAAAGCAGGGACCATGTCTTACAAAAATCCATCCAACTATTTATCCGCCTGTCCACCTTCCCATCCATTCAATCTTCTAACTGCCTGTCTATTGGTCCTTTCTTCTATCTATGCATGACTCATTCCTTCCTCCTCCCCTCCTTCCCTTTCTCCCCCACCCCTCTAGCCATTTATTCATTCAGCCATCTATCCAGCTGCCTGAGTCTTCTCTTTTATCCTTTGATTAAATTTTCTATCCTGTCATCCATCTATTAACGCATATGTGACATTTACTAAGTAGCTATAAGGTACAAAGCATTTCTTTGAGGCAGTTCCAACAATGCTTTACACATAGCAGTTGCTTAATAAACATTTTTAAATTGCTGTCAGTAAATAATTATGGCAAAAGAACATTTTCAGGCTTGTATTACTTCCTTTCTCAAGGAAAGTCTTCATCATTCAAACTTACAGATTAATTCAGAAAATGTATTCATGAGGCAAGAATGCTGTAGTATACTGCTTATGAAAGAGAAATATTTAATTTGCTAACTGATAACACACTTTTATTTCATTATTAGCAGAATAAATGCCTTCTATTATAAATATAATCATACCTCCTATCTCGATGAAGCTCACTCTGAATAGAAGTCCGAGAAGCTATAAAAGAAAGAATAAACTGATATAGTACAAAATTAGTACATTCAATAAAGGTTTAATTTTGTATAGGGTATATTATTGGAAAAAATTAGCTTGTACTTGATATCATATAGGATGTATGGATTTTAACATTCATAGTAGAAAAGCAAATCAAAATGATCTTTTCATATGGTGTAAAGTTAATTATAGTTATATATTTGAATTTTGTAAGAAAACACAGATTTCAAAAACTTCCCAAAGCATATTCTACAGTTCTGAGAATAATTTAAAGAATGAACAGAGAAAAGAAGACAGCTTTAAATTGAAATTGCATGATAAGAGCATTATGACGACATGAAATAACGAGCAGAAAAATGTTTTTAATCTATTCTGATCCATGACTATACTTTTGTAATGTTTGTTTATAACTCTACTGTAAAGAGAGTGAAGCTGGTCAAATTTTCATGTATTTTCTAACTCTTCTAGAATTTTACAACCTTATAAATTAAGAGATGATAAATTCAAAAAATGTTCAAATCATTTATATAAACATGTTTATAGCATATATTATTGTGTATGCAGCACTGACTTCCCTCAAGCCTCAGACTCAAACACTAGATCATTTAAATTTTTTTCAACATTTATTTTAAAATTAAATTACACCTTAATCAGATGACCTGCAAAATATGTTACATATAGGGTCACATATTACACATATGTTCAATACAGAATATTATCCCTATTTTCAAGATGCACGTTCCAAAGATATCTTTTTAAAAAAAATCTTCAAATACTATATACACTGTAATGAGTTATGCACAAAGGGGAATTTGTTTCAGATATAAACTGTTTTTATCAGTTGCCTTCATATCTCTCCAATTCTCTACTTTCTCAATTCTTCTGATTTGAAGAGGCTGAAGGTGTGAATATTTTCTTTTCCCATTCTATTAACTTCTGATTCTCTCTGAACAAGGAGACTAAGAAAGTGAGGGAGGCAGGGATAGAGGTGGAAGGTGGGGGTGGAATGGAGACTGGCGTTGGAGCTGTGACGGCTGAATCTACTCCGGGTTGGCAAAGCAAGCTCAACATTTGAAACCAAAACCCCTTGGGTTTCGATTTGGAGGATGTCCTATATTCATATCATCAACTGGTTTGACTGTTACAGTTTTATCAAACGTTAAACCAAGCTGAGGTGCATTTTGGCTACTATAGTCAAAGCACAGAGAGGATAAAGTGGTGCGTCTGATTTGTAAGAACAGTTTCATTAAGTCCAAGGCTCACTGAGTGTCTACAATCACATCAGCACCATCGCTAAAGCCAGAATCAGCAGACACAGCGCTTGTAAAAGACATCATGTTATTTATTGTCACCAACATACCTCTTCCACGGGGCATTTTTGCTGTGCACTATTCATGAGTGCTAAGGGAAAAAAAGAAGGGGTTATAGAAGAGGAAAGGGAGAAAAAAGAGTTGCCTATGCTCTACAAGGAATTCAGGAGCAAGGCTGTCTCGCCATGCCACTGTTTTCTCCACTCTGCACACTTCAACAGAAAGGAAAAGCCAGTAAACCATAGTTTCGGGGAGTAAGGGAGTACGCCGAGGCAAAGACATGTCTTGTCTGTGCAGACCAGTATATCCACACACATAACCACAGTTAAAAAAACAAACAAACAAAAATCTACCTATAGCTCTTAACAACAGTGCAAAAAAGATCTAAAAACCATTTTGCTACTTCAATAGGAATCAGTTTTAAAGTATGCCTAATGCTTAAAAGGAAATTCAGTAGTTAATTTTCTTTGAAATCAGTGGCTTTTCACTTGATTCTGACCCTGCACACCAGTCACTGGTAAGGGCCCCCTACCTCACCGCCTCATTAGCAGAATGACATTCCCATTCTGAATGTGGAAGCGTGAGGGGTGAGAAGGTCTTCAAATCATACTTACAGATCTCCTCCTCCTTGGAGAAGCACTGCCTTCCCCTGTCCTGCTCTGGTCTTTTTTTCACGTTCACTCGTCTATGAAATCTCTTTTTTCTCTTGATCATTACAGAATGGCTGACACTTTTTGTCAGTGTTGAACAAGTTTAGCAGCTAGAAACACTTCAGATTTTCATGGCAGATTTTCACGTAGTGAGTATCTCACACTCTTCCCGCTAATTTCTTAACTGTCCACTCCATCTCATTCTCACTTTCCCGGGTTAAACAGATTGAATGTAGTTGTTTCCAGGAAATTTGAAATTTGCTATCAATGCCCATGCAGACCAACATGTTCCTTTTAACCCCTGCCACAGGCTGCTAGTCTTTCATGCTTTTTGGAGGAAGGCCACAGAATAAAGCCAGTATTTCCAGTTCAAGTTATCATAGCATTTCAAAGAATTATTCTCAAACTTTTCTAGTTCGTATGGTTAAGTTCTAAGTACAAAACAAATTCATATTCAGCCATTTATAAAAGATTGAGATCTGGATTTGCAACATTGGCACTAATAAAGGATCCTTATAAGTTCCGAACAGGATCATAAGCATGAAAGGACCCCCAATGATCATCGTACTCCAGCCTTCCGGATGGGGAGACTGAGATAAAGGGAGGTTAAAAGAATTATCCCAGGGCACACAGCCGTGACAAGAAGGGCTGGGAGCAGTTTAACTCCTTGTGGATCTAGGAGAGCTGGATGCTTGTCCTGATTCTAAATAATTAAAAAATATCCATTAAACGATGGTCAGGAGAAATAAACACATAGAAAGTTATTATAAGTGTTCTTGCTATAACCCTACTTTGCCAATGAAAATCACAAAAATAAAAAAGTAACTCACTAACTACATTTGCTTGAGACAGGGTATGAGCTGGATGCATCTGACATGATAACAAGCGCATCCGTGGCACGGGACGCTCATGGCTTTGGGGTCAGGAAGTGTACGTTCACATCTCCGCTCTACCTTGTGAAGCCATTTAACCTCTCTGAGGCTCAAGGACCCTACCCTCTGTAAAGTGAGGTCAACACCTACCATGCAGGGCATTATTTCATAACATAGGTGAATAGGTCCTGACGTACAGTAGGCAATGGATATTAGCTAAATCTGAATCTCAAAGAATAATTTTCTTTTAAAAGGTTAATGAAAGGAAAAGCATGAAATTCTAGATATATCCAGTTGGAACACTTTTAATTTTAAGATCTTTACCTCAAGTAGCCTATGGCTCACTTAAGAATAAATGCAAAAAGAAAGCCCTCAAGGCTTGACGGGAACCAGGCTCATTATGAAAGAATTTAAAATACAACTATTGAAGAAATATTGCTTTTAAAAGGTAAAGTCTTCCTCCTTGCTAGTGTTAGATGATTTGAGTCTGGGATGGTGAAGCAAACATTTCAATGGGTTGGGTAAGAGAAAAGTTGTTTGTAACTTTTTCTTCTAGAACGGGCAGAACGGAAAAAGATAAGGGGTGACACAATTATTCTTCATTCTGTATTTACATAGTATCATGTGAGGATCTGTTTGGCCTCCTTGTCTAAACATCAGCAATAGATACAGTCAACAAATATTTCTTTAGTGTATACAAATCATACATGTAAGAATTACAAGACAACTTGGTTAGCTTTTTAAAAAAAGATTCCTCAAAGCAAGGGTTTTCCTTGTTGCATCTCCTCCTTTCTCTCCACTCGGGCTTCTTCACCAATCTCCTCTTCTCTCTGGGTCAGTCTGATCTCCACGGATTCCTTCCCTGCTGCCCACAAAGGCCTCCAAGCTTCCTCTTCCTAAACAGTCTGTGAACATGTTCAAATCCCTTCTCTGCCTGGCCCCTGTCCCTTCTCAAGCTACGGCCCTTTCTTTTCCTGTTTACTGCCCGATTTCATAAAAAAAGCAGCCTACCTCTCAGCTGTCCCAACGCCATATATTCCACTCATTGTTCCAGCTGAAGTGTGGCTTCCAAGGAACGTCAGTGTTCTGCTGAAACTGCTCTCCCAGAGGTCAGCGCTGGCCTCCTAAGGGCCACACAGGGACCTATTCTCAGCCGCCTTCTGCCTGACCTTGCTGAGGCAGTAAGCGCTATTTGTGCTTCACTTTTCGAAAACCTTAATTCCCTTGACCTCTAACACGCAGCGGTCTCCTCGTGTTTCTATTACGCTGATCGTTCTTTTTCAGCCGCGTTTCGCCCTGTCCTCCTTAGCTGCCTTCTCCTTTAGCCTTGCCAGGACAGGGCCTCGGGGTAAACCAGATCGCCCTGAAGGCCCTAGGGGACGTCAGGTACAGATTACAATCCCCTACCAAGTCCTGCCACCCGAGAGGAAAGGTGAGAAGCCCGAGAACAAAGGCAGGGGCCAGCGGACAGGACTCAGTGACAGGAGGCCCTCCTCGGCAGGGCTGGGTTTTTGGGTCATGCCATCTTTTGCCCTGTGGCACTTTAAAGGCACAGCCTGGCCTCGGACATCACTGTTCCCCAAGATTCTGTCCTTTGCCATCTTCACCCTCTACACTTTCTCCCTAAATGTCTGACTACTCCCAGGGTTATGCCTGTAATCTCAATGACCTCCAAACTGTATCTCCAGAAAGAAATCCTTCTAACGTCCAGACGCTAATTTCCTCTTTAAATTCTCTCCCTACCCTGTCTCTCTCTCCACCTCAAGGGCTCTGAGGCATGTGAAACTATCCCGAACTTTTCACTTTCATAGCTGAACTCCCTTCAACATACACTGTGGCATTCCCACGCTTTTATAATTTGCCACTGACAACAACAAAAATGAAACGTGGAGAAATGTGAAATATCTTTCTGTAGCGCCACCTTACAAATTGTTCATGGAAATGAATTTAAATGTATGCTCTTCACAATCTATGGATATCCTAAATTCATACTAAATATTATAAATTATGTTTCTAAAAATAATATACATTCTCTTTAGGGTGGTGATCTCAGCTCAAATAATGTGAAACCCCTTCTTTATCTTTTTTTTTATAACATATAATCCACGTTCTATTTGGAAAGGGGATCTTTGCCGAACCTTTTATTAAAAAGGATGCTAAAACTCTACACACCAAAAGCAAGTATTGTAACTTGAACCAAGAGGCAAAGTTAGTAAGCATGAATCTACTATTCTGGAGAGAATTCTATTTCGTCATTTCTATTTATATGTGCAAGTGTGAGCTGATCTCCATAGGCATTTATACAGTTAATTAAAAATACTGTGGAAGCAAATGAATCAAAAAGAACAGGGTTTGATATTTTTTTAACCCATCAGATGTCTCTACCTATAGAAAATGGTTACATAAAGTTTATAGTAGATCACAGAAATTAGATAATCCAAAAAAACCTTTTACAGCTCAGTTCTATAAGAGAAAAATATTGTTCTGAGGAACTGGCTTATCAATAAATGAAAGTTGAAAGGAAAGTTGAAAAACTAGCTACATGTCTGAAATGGTTTATTATTCCTTAGGAGATGCTGCTCTTGCTGGATTCGTTGTAAGATTCATCAAGTTCAATCACTTGCTAGAAATCTAAACCATCATTTAAAATTATTACAGAGGACAAACACAGAGCAGGGAGAAACAAACTTACATCTCTTGATTACTGCTCTAATGGATGACAAGGGTCCTTGGCTAGAAAAAGAAAGAAAGAAAACTTATTAAACATTCATTAATCCTTTTGAAGAAGAATCGTTTATCATGCCAGGTCATTTCTGAGACTCAATATGGCACCAAGCAGCAAGTTTGATACATTAATTACTGGTCTATCCTCTTTACAAAACACAAATTAAAAGTTTTTTCACAATTGCCTTTGATATTTAAGATGTTCTATGGGAGGTTAGGAGGCTGGTGAAGTTTATCTGTAGTGTAAATAAAATGTTGCCTTAAAATCGCTTTTACAGCTACCTACACGCCGCATCTTCCACTTTTGGGCAATGCTTGAAGTCAGGTAGCAATTACAAGGTGCTCAGAGTATTTTGACTCCCCGTCCCCTATATCTCTTTTATGTTTGACATTGGAATTCCTGTTTACTCAGATCAAAACAGATCATTTTTATAGTCAATTTGACCTAAGAGCCAACAGCATTTTCTCCTAAGATTAGAATTAAAAACTTCAACACTTAAAAGTCTTCTGCTTACTTTGGTTTTTGTTCAATAGCTGGTCGGTCCTGGCTGCCTCTGACTATGTGACCTTGGGCAAGTCACAGCCCCCTTTCCTAGCCTCTGTTTACTCATTGTTCAAAACCCTCTAGGCTATTAAGGTTTATGTTACTAGTTTGTGGGAGTTTGTGGGGTTGTTTGTTTTTTGTCTTTATTCATACCAGCTAGACTAATTGTTTTTGGAATAATTTAGAAAAAATATACAACCATGAAAATGTAATGATATGATTTATAAAAAAAAGTTTCATGCTTATTAAAATTCTTCACTTCTTCTATGAATGGTCTTTTAAAATTTATACTTATTTTCAATTTATGCTCTTTTAAGATTTGTGCTTGTGGAAATCTATAAATCCTCTTGCTGTTTCTTAAATAGATACAACAGGAAGACACAATAGAACACCAGTTCATTTGACAGGAGGGGCACTTTAAGAATACACTATTCTTAAATACACTACCAGACAAGAAAAAACAATTAAGCTCTAGGAGGTCTTCAATACCATGAAGCTACTAGGACCACAATATAAAAACATAAGCCAATACTGATTTTTGAAAAATGTTCTTGAAGGTTTTCTGTAAATAACTACTTGAAAAAAATAGTATAAGGTAATACAGAAGCAGTAACAGCACTAAAATGCAAATAGGTTGACTGACGGTTTTAGGAGAAACTTCTTGGTGCAAATCTGCAGAGAGCCTGCATGTTAATATTGAGTTTGTTGACTCAGGTACTGTAATTAAAAGAATCAAAATCAGTATTTAGAAGGAAGGACAAAAAAGCCAAAGTTCCACGTGTGCCCAGGCAGGGCATAAGGGATGTCACTGAATGTCTACATCATCATCTCCTTGCTTATTACCACGGATTTGGTGTGATGTTATTACTTAAAAACGCCCTTTGTTACCGCTGTGAAGGAGGAAGGTGTACTGACTGGGTGAAACATGGGGCGTATTTGGGTCAACCTCCCCACCTCCCCCAAAAAAGTTATGTTGAACTCCTAACCCCTAGTACCTCAGAGTGTGACCCTATTTGGAAATAGGGTTGTTACTGATGTAAATTAGTTAAGACGCGCTCATACTGGAGTAGGATGGCCCCTAATCCAACATAACTGGTGTCCCTAGAAGAAGGCCATGTGAGGACAGAGACACACAGGGAAAGTGCCATGTGACCACGAAGGCTAAGACTGGAGTGATGCAGCTGCAAGCCCAGGAAAGCGGGGACCGCCCACAAAGCACTGAAGCTAAGAGGAGGCAAGGAAGGGTTCCGTTGTGGATCTCAGAGGAGGCACGGCCCTGCTGACACCTTCATTTCCGACTTGTGGCCTCCAGAGCTGCGAGACAATCAAGTTCTGTTGTTTTAAGTCACCCAGTTTGTGGTACCGTGTTATGGCAGCCCCAAGAAACTAATACGGGGGCAGGGAGTGTCTTCTGGGGTGCTGGGTAGATGTGATCATTCATTCAGCTGTGTCACTTTGTGCACTTTCCTGTATGTTACACTTCAATAAAAAGTTGCGGGAGGGTGTGTGTGTGTGTGTGTGTGTGTGTGTGTGTGGAAACTTTGGTACAAAATAGAATTTTGACTGAGGTCAGCCCAGGTTCTATAATTCTCAAAATTGGCAGTATCATGTTTAGACTACATCTATAAACCAACCAACCAACCAACCATCTTATGTCTAAAGCCACCTTTTCCAAACTCTATAAAGTTTAAAGTTCTCCATCAGAGGTTAACAGGTTTTATGATAGGGAAAATAAAAAAGAAGGCCTGAGGTCAAATGTGTCTCCTTGAGAAGCAGTTTTGGGAGATGCTGGAGTAGCCACCTGGCTGTGCAATGCATACAATTTCTGTATCTCAAATGTAGCTATGGATGTAGAAACTGTGGTTTTGAAGATATCCTTCATCTCCGTCTTTCTGCAGAGCAAAGGCTACAGGTGACAGTACCACTCCACAGTCGTAAGAGAAAACCTCATGTGAGTCCTCCCTCAGCACGGGCTCAGGCTCATGTCACAGCCAGGAACCTTTAGGAAGGATGCCCACCCTGGACAGTAGACACGGCCTCCTACTGATCAGAGGGGACACTAGAGCTTGCTGGCTCACAGAGCTAGTTTTGGAGTCCAGTTGTCCCTATTCCACCCTGGTGCCGCCACTTGTTGGCTGGGGTGACACTGCAAATTACTTAGCTTCTCTAAGACCCCTTGTGTCCTCATGTATAAAAGCAAGGATAACTCAACTTCCTCATGAGGTTGTTGTAGAGTAAGAGGGAGAATTCATTAAAGCATTTTACACAATGCATGGAACAAAGTGTGTGTTCAACAAATGTGAGATATTATTATTCATGTTTGTTCATAATCTTCAGGGGCATCACAAAACATCTGGCAACACATACAACCCTTGACAGATTCTCCCATCGGAGTCTAATACCATACAGGTTATAGGCCCAGCAGTTTGCTTTTAAAAGACATTTTTCTTTAAGATGTGCTTTGCTCTCCTCTGGTTTCTGCCGAGGGAACCTGAGCCTAGGCCACTCCGCGACAAAACAAAGGAACGCAAACCTGCCGCCTCACTCAGCTCTAAGTGTGTAACCCATGTCCTGGCCCGTGGCAGGGTTGCTCCAGCTCTTCTGCCTTCTGTTCCTCCAGCACTGCTGCCCCATTATCAGGTGCTCCTGTTCTCAGTGGGGCAGATAAAACAGCTCCTGAGATGTGACACAGACCCTTCCGGGAGGAAAATGAAGGGTCAGGGCAAATGGCTTTCAGATCCTGAGGAGGAGAACCAAAAGCTGGAGTCAAGACAGACCTGTACTCAGCTCTAACTGCCTGATGATTTCTCTTCCTCCAGGCCTCTGGGCTCTCGCGCTGTTCAGCGTCCCATTCTCGCCTTTCCTCCACTCTCTTACAATAAGCCCTTTTTAGGCTAGGCTGTATGATCCTCTCTACCACCGCATTTGCACATAACCTTGGTCAGTGGTTAAGAAGGTGTTTTCAAGAATAGAAACCGCATTTTTGAAAAGTTTCTCAACTAAATGAATGTCTAATGATGAGATTTCAGTGATGAAGATGATGATGAGAAGAGCTTATTATTATGGGTGCCAAACACACGATCCACTTAACAAATGAGGAAAATGAGGCTTAGAGTTTAGGTATCGTGTCTACAGTCACAGAGTTGGTGAATGGCAGAGCCGGATGTGAATTCACTACTGTCTGACTAGAGTCCAGGAGTCTGTCATTCAGGCTTGGGTAGATGGGCAAATGTTTCTGGATGTTCCACAAAGTTCAATATGTGGGCAAGTACCCCCAAATATAAAGCTGTACCCCAAAATTTCACAATGACATCTCATGCAGGAGAAACAACAGTTGCTAGGTATGACATTTTGATGTTGTCAGAACAATAGCAACAATGCAAACCACAATGGTTGCTCTAGAGCTCACCTAAGGAAATCCACCCTCTCTTTTTCCTCTGGATCATGTTTTATTTATCATATGACAGGTTCTAAAATTTTCAAAGCCACGGCACGTTTTCAAGTTTAAAGTCATTGCCCACCCCACCCCACCCTCTCTCTCTTTGGTAAGGAAAAAAACTATTTTCACAAACCAGTAACTGAAGTTGCTGGATTTGGCTTGTTTGGCACACAAATCAGAACCATGCTCACAAGTGCCCATCGTCATCATATCTGGTTTGGGAATTCCTTCTGTGTGCAGAGACAACTGAATATATTAAAAAAAATACATTCTTTGCAAAAAAACAAAAAAAGCCTCTCAATAAAGGCCGTGGGCATATCATTAAAGCCCCAGTCAGTAAAGCGTAGCTCAACAAGGAGTTAAGCTCACCTGATCTAGAGCAGCAGTTCTCAACCTGTGGGTCGCGACCCCTTTGGGGGTCAAATGACCCTTTCACAGGGGTCGCCTAAGACCATCGGGAAACAAAAAGATACTTACGTTATGATTCATAACAGTAGCAAAATTACAGTTATAGAGTAGCAACAAAAATAATTTTATGGTTGGGGGTCACCACAACATGAGGAACTGTATTAAGGGGTCGCGGCATTAGGAAGGTTGAGAACCGCTGATCTAGAGGTGCAGCCCTTTGGTGAAGCTGATAAGCCTGCCAGTGAATATAAAGTTTGTCTCCTTGTACCATCTTCTCCAAAGGCTCTCAACATTTGGATTGACTCATCTTTACTTCCCAAAAGAGAGCTTTAACCAGGCTGTTGTAGTTTATGCATTTGATCATACATGCAGTACTTACTCGTATTATATGTATGATATGCACCAGGCACCAGCAATGCGTAGAAAGCACAGATGCTGACCTCAGTGAGAAAGACAAATATTTCAGCTGCTTTCTATTAACAGTATATAGGGGTAGGCACAAGGTGCTATGTGTGCAGAGAAGGTATGCTTTACTTGATCTTGAGTTCTGAGGAAAGACTTCCAAAATGCGATGTGTGTCTTGGCTGAGGACTAAAGCATGAGTCAGCAGAAAGGTTC